CAGGAGCCGCCAGTTCCTAAATACTGTTGTATACCATTATACTTCCATAATATTATAATAGCATTCAAAAATAATTGTATCCATACATTTTTTCATTTTTCCTGATTTAAATATCGATGATAGATACCCAAAAACTGTAAGTATTACGTGTAATTTATTAGGAATAGCCTAGTTCTATAAAACTAGCTGTTGTCCGATTCATGAATTAAGCATTATTTATCGAATTTCATGAAAAGGATATTTTTTTATTATGCTCATGAATTAAGCATATCACTTGTTCATTCCACGAAACAAGCAAAAAGTGTCTATTCTACGAACTACGACACTTTCACGGTCGTCAATTGTATAACATGTAATCGTGTAACGTATACATATTATTATTTACCTATAGTAAAAAAAGACTATAACAGGGGCGTCATTTCAACTTTTGAAAGGGTGGGGCGACTGATTAAATTTGCCGACTTCATAATATTTAAAAAATTATGGTTACCTATATATTTAAAATTTAATATTTATGGACGATAGACTATCAATAAAATATTTTTTCGGAACAAAACATGTAAGTAGTGAATAATGATGATAAACAAAGAACATGAAACGTTTCAATTTACCCAATTAAATAATAACATTACAAACAATTAAAAACATTAATTTATTTACTTATCCTATAGACTATAAGTTACTTTTTTTTTCTTATTTTTTTAATTTGCTATTATTGGGGACATTACAGTAATACAGTTATGTAGTGAAAAGATGCAAATTTATAAAAAACATACAAATCAAATTACGAAACCAGCGGAAATGATAAAATTAATGATGGAGTTGATGACATGGGTAGAGCGATAGTTAAGGATAAGATTTGAATCGGGAGTGAGATAACCCAAAGTGGATAGGAATGAAAAAAGGAGATGTCTACTAGGAGAGAGAGAGGGGCTATAAGTTACCTATCAATAGGTTTAAAGGAATAATAATATAAATCTAATTAAATAAATACTTATAATTTTATTGTCTGTATATTTAATACTTTACAGAACCTATTTATAAAAACCAGTGGCGGTTTTCCCTGGGAGGCAAGGGAGGCAGTGCCTCCCTTGAAAGTACAAGAAACTACACGGTTAATGTTATTTAAATTATTAAATATGTTTTGCTTATAATTTCAAGCATAGACACGTTAATAAAAGGGAAATTAATAAAGATAAATATAAATTTAAATTATGTATTGAACGGACTATGGAGTATATCGTGCGCGGTCTCGATCTTTCAAGTCCGTGGTACTCATCAACTCATGGGTAAGAGAATGCCTAAGTGCGGCGTGCCGCACTGCCGTGTGCAATGTGCACAACAGGCAAATATAATATTGTTTATAGTAATATACTAATAATTTGACATACTGTATTACTATACAATAAACTAGGCTACGGCTGTCCCTCCATACATCCCGTGTCAGTGGTTCCCCACTTTCTCAGGAGGCAATCGCTGTCACAGTTATCGATACGTTACATGTGTATACAAGCTTACACACACAAACGCACATAAAATATGCTAATAGCGCATGCGCGATTCTCCGCGGAGACTGCACACTACCGTTGCCTCCGTCAGAAAACGTCACAGGCTGTGACTCACAGCGGCTGACCGATAATTATTATTCTAACTTTTGGATACAAACAGAGTTTAGGCGTTTTCCATGTTTTGTGTGTACAAGTTATATTATTATTCTTTAAATCATATTATGATTATTTAATCCCTACTTTATTCCACGTTATCACTAAATGAGTTATTATCAAATATCAATTGTAATATGTTTATTATTTTGTACTATAACTTTTTGTAATATAAAAGATTAGAATAATTATTCAATTGTTTTATTTTCTGTTGTATTTGTTTAGGTAGACGATTAGGTAGTTCGTACTGTGAGTTGTGACTTCTGAGAACAAAATAAAGCATTCTAATTTCAAATTAAAGTTATTAAAGTGATCAGTATTTTTTTGTTTCAAGTTGTTTTTTCATATTTTTTAAAAATGAATCCAATTTATGATCCGATTGTATTCCTTTTAGAACACTATTACAGACGTTGGAGTACATGTGACAAAAACGACTTACTTAGGCAAGGTAAACCAACTCCTTCTCTGACGTATTTGTCTGCAGACAAAATTGGCTCAAAAGTATTTTGTAGGTCTTTCAATTCCAACGTTTATACTAAACATCCTTGGATATGTGGAAGTTTTTATTTACAGAGGTTATTCTGTTGACCATGCATTTTATTGAGTCAGTCAAATTCTGTTTGGATTACATTAGGCTATGCTGATTTTTACTAGGAAGACACTAGTCAATTTAGAAACTAAAAATTGTTATTATTTAGGTCAATAAATTTTTTTGAAATTTTTCTTTTGCATCAATTTTGTAAATATTCAACTATTTGTAACTCAAAACTAAAAAGACACTTTATAGGGTTTGTGTCTCAGTTTTGTATAAATTATAGATGTATATAGTATTTTAATATTATAATTATAATTTAAATACAATATACCTACCAGTAATGCAAAATTGTAACTTAGTAGTTAGCATTTAATTATGTGTTAGAGTGAAAATGAAACCTTTCTCTGACAGATTTTTAAAGAAAAAAATTGTATTTAAACAAATTAAATGAGTTTTTAGGACTGTGCGATTCGCTTTAATAAGTCCAGATGGATAGGAACAAAATTGTTGCCTCCTCAAAATTTTAATGCCAGAACCGCAACTGATTGAACACAAATTGAATAAATTCAAAATAAACAGTATACTAAACACCAAGCCTGGACATTAACGAGTTAATAAGTTAAAATTTAAGTTGAAAGTTAAGTTAATTTAACTTAATAACTTAACTTATTTCATTACTGATAAATTAACTTAATTCATATCCTTACAGATTAACTTGAAATTAACGTGTTATTTTTTAATCTATCCCAATTAAGTTAATTTTGATATTCAAAACCACAAAAATGTTTTTGTAAAATGCGATATTCGATAACAAGTTTATGGAATTTAGAAAAAATATAAAAATAAATATATCGAAGAATATTTAGATAACAGCATAATATTTATCACGATATTAACTAATAATAGGGATCCTACCGGTCTCGGGAAGATTATTAATTTTATTACGTGGTACATTGAGCTGTTGGCATTGCATATTATCAAGCTCAGAATCAGTGATGGGAATTATTCGACTATTCGAATATCAGTATTCGATGCTACAATACAATACGTAACGAAAATTATTTGTTTAAGTTTTCGCGCTTAATTTAATATTATTGTATTACTTACTCAAATATCATTTGTGCTTATTGTAAAAATAAAATATTTATAGATTGTACAATTTAAAAATAAAAAAAAATAAATAAAAAAGTTTTCGAGCAACACAAAACATTTAATAATAATAGGTATTATAGCATCGAATACTGATATTCGAATGTTCCAATATTCAAATATTCGTATATTAGAATTATTTACGGTGAACATATTCGAAGTCAAATATTCAAATAATTCGAGTAATTCAATTATTCGAATATACATTACACCTCTACTCAAAATGCATGGCGTTTAGTAAGAATACACTTTCGAGGTGTCTAGCATATACTTAGGCTTTTTCTTGTTCACTGCGAGCCCAGGTACCTTCCTTGCGGATAGGTGATATCTGAGCATGAAGTCTCTTTATGTGTCTTGTGACTTTCCATAACGAATAATCGGTTTTATCTGTAACAGAGAGACCACTTTAGTACGATTTTAAGATTTCATATTTCATTTATTTGATTTTATCATGAAGTATTATGCATAGACGGCTCCGTTCGATTGTATCTATTCATGAATGTATACTATGCCTTGCTCTTCTCGCTCGACGTTTTTGTTGAGCTAAATTTCTTATTTCTAGTGGATATGTAATCTGGTTACTACCACTTCCAACCATCGGAGTTACTATTTCCGCGGCATTAATAATGTCGCTGGTAAATTTTTCTATCGTAGTTTCAATGTCGAATATTGTTTTTAGTCGAGTGGAAAGAGTTATCATTTTATCAAGTGTACTTCTGAATAGATTCGATCTTTTATTTATTGTGGAAGTTTTTTTTTGTTTTACTATTACATTGAAGAAGCGCGAGGATGTGATCTGACGTTAGCTCTATTAGATTTTATACTTCTGTATAAATTGATGAAACTCCTTTCATTACATAGAAGTCAATTAAATCAGGTAATTTATTTCGGTCAGTAGGCCAGAAAGTAGATTTTCTAGTTGAGATAAATTATGCTTTAATTTTGTTAGTAGATTTGAACAAATCACACCCTTTAGTGGAGATCAATCTCGATCCCCAGAAAGTGTGTTCAGCATTATAATCTCCTCCAGCAATGAATCTGGTAACTAAAAATTCAGTAAACTTTTTTCCATCTACTTTATATCGTGGTAGACAATATACATTAGATATAATAAGATCATTATTGCTGTCATTGATACAGACATTTGTTGCTTATAAATGTTCTTAAAGATATTTGTCAAATTCATGGTGCTTAATTGATTAGAATTAAATTACAATTATGTAAGGTTACATAATTTTAAATGTAATTTTTTTTATGTAATATTTTAATTAAATGTTCAAAAATTAAATTAAATTATATTTTTTTCTTCTAAATTTTGATTGCATATTTTTTTTCTCTAATGTATATTTTAATACATTAGTACATATACTTGTGAATGTAAGAGATTTTTAGCGCATATTTGGTGGGTTATTAATGCATATAAATTCCCTCTATAGGGATGAGAGTTGAAATTTTAAGTTTTTTACAGTTTTTTCCCCGTTATGCTCTCAAAAAGCATACACGATCAAATGATCTGAGAAACAGCAGTGTAAATGGAAATTATAAATACAAACACATTAGTTTACAAAAAAATAGTATATTATTCAAAAAAAAAAAAAATGGAAAAAGTAAAGTAATATCCATTAACATGGAATTTTTTAGTAAATATTTTGTGTCAAAATTGTAAATATGGAAAAGTAAAAATAGCCAAGTTGTAATTTTCGTATTTTGGTAGGACGAAAATGATCTGCAAAAAAAATTATTTTTGATTAATAATAATAACAAAATATGTTGTTCCTCGTTCATTTAGCTTACGTTGTGCCTTATATATTCAATAATCTGATACATTTATACATGATTTGTTTCGAAGAATCGTGCAACCTTATTTAAATACGTCATGTACATGAACTTATTCTCTGTACGAAGACGTTCGATTTTTTGTTGTCTGTTTAACGCTAAGAAAGAGAAAACAAAATGTGCATAAGTGTCACCGATTTATAAGTATATACACTGAAAGTTTTTTAGTCACATGGATTATCCAGTTGCACCGATTTTAAAGTTTGAACTGGTATTCCTCGTGCGTGAGTGTCGTTCTAAAAACGATAACACATTGTCAACATAAAATAGTCGTTGTTACTTTTAAAACAATTGAAACGAGTTAGTACAAAAAATAGCTTGGAATTTTACTATAGGACTATGAAATGAAAGTCGAAATTAACGCGCTTTGGATATGTCTTAGGTACTTTTAATAACGTGGATACATAGAATTTCAACGTCGTCCGTGGATGATAAAATACTTATAGCAGAAATTATAATAGTATTGTAATACGTACTCTTGTTAGATAGAGGTTCAGACAGTTCGGCTTTTTGTCAATCGATACACTTTCGTACTGTATTCGACTGAACCCCTCGTCCATTGCTATCTGCAAACACTGCGGTGCACGGAAAAATGAAACAAAAATAAAATGTATTATTCAATTAAATTTATTTATTTATTTATTTTAATCTAAGGCAACAGGCTTATATAATATCACTTATCACATGCAGTAAATATTTGAAAATATCGTATAACTAGTATCTGTTTTTAACCAAAATATGACATTTTCGCTGTCCCGGGGATCGATATTAAGTATTGTATACGTCACATGTTGTTATATTATTATTATGTTAAGTATCGCGTAACGCGTACTTGGTCTTTATCTATATTCTTTGGTACGTGCAGAACCACTCTGGGCGCAACTGCACGTGCCATCCGAATAATAGCTGCCATGCCACCCGTGTCACGTCCACAAAGGTCTCTGGCGTCAAACTTTGCTCGCCTTTCGTATCCTGGACCGCCCCATGGTGGTGAGGTGACAACGGCGTCCACCCTGAGGTTAGTGGCCACCGAAAAAGAATTTCCCACCCTGAAATCTATCCGGTGGGCCACTCCGTAAACCTCTGCATTTTTCTTGGCCAAAGCTATTTTTTTTGGATCCAAGTCGATGGCGATAACTAAAAAAAAGACATCAACGTATCGTATTATTGCGTTGAATTATAATACTGTTCAATAATAGTATGAACAAGCTTACCGTGATCACAAATCAATGCCAGCTGTATAACATTCCCCCCCGGCACCACAAAACGGGTCCAAGACCGTGCCGAACGAAGTGCACCGCTTGGCAATATGCTGTGCCAGTACCTCTGGGCAAACGGAGTACATACTGGCTGCGTAATCGCGTGGAAAAAGATTCACATCGTTAGAAAATGAATTCGCGTATGTTATATTATAACTTACCCTCGTCGAGCATAATTCCCTCGTCAAACCTTGAGAATAGCGAAAACCGCAGTTTCCAATATTTATAAGTTTGGTTCAATGTTGACTCCTGAGAGAATAACAATTGAATCAGTTTAATATCTATGGACGTGAGTGAGTGCTTATGCTTTCAATCGATATTTTACACGTGCGTTTGTAGTAAGATTTTAAATATTTTTACATGTTAATTTTTTTTTTTTTTTTTTAATGTTCACTACTCTAAATTGAAGTTATAAATAACCGTCTTCGTATAATGTGTACTGGAGTATTAACGTATAATAAAATTAGCGATAAACATAAGACATGTCATATTGTACCTATATACATATGTACAGTTAACTCATGTACGAGACATATATATATATATATATAATATAGAAGTTAAAAAAATGTGATATTTTTTTTTAGAGAATATATTTGTCCCTTTTTTTCAAATATATGGTCACCATAGTATACATTGCTAAGATGCCCTCCTCCACACAAATTTTTACCGTCATCTTATTAGTTTTTCGAGATACTCAATGATTTTTATTTTCTCTTTTCGTGTCGCACATTTATCACGGAACAGTTAACTACTAGAAACCTGCCCTAAATCGGTCGGCATTATAATCATCCTCACCTGGGTTTCAGCTTTTGACGAGCGATATTCCATGCTGGGGCCAGAGGTACTATCGGCCGTCGGTGCCAAGGCTGCAGGCAATCCCAATGTTATCTGTGCATCGACCAATTGTGCCATTTCATCGGCCATCGTCCGCGCCCTTTTTTCCACCATCACGTTACACGAACGTGCGGGACCGTTTACGCACTCAACGTCGACGCCTGAAGCGATCTGGCACATAGTCACATCGACCTGAGCGGATTTGTCCACGTAAAGGGTTTGATCACCGGACGCAGCATCGCTAGTGGCCGGACTAGCCTGGGTGTATCCATCCGCATACGATATTTCGAAATGGCCACACGCGACGTCACGAGTGGCCACTGGAGTGCGGTAAACTGAATCTCCGTTGGTGACAGACACTTCGTCCGTCTGCGTGACAGTTTCGGCTGTGGCCTTAGGGCAGCAAAGACGATCAACATGGATCTGTCGTCCGTCTCGTCGTCCCCATCTTAGTGCTCCGGCAATGCATCTCCGATGCGCAAAACCACGGTGAGCTAAAGCGTTAAAAGTATGAGACACATATGAAAACTGAAGTAGATCTACTATCCTCGGAATCTCGCGCGAATCGAGAAATTCAACCGTACTCACCATAGTCATCTTCTGTCATTGCGGTCCAAATCTTTGGCCACCCGCAGATGACGCAAAACACCATAAAATGCCATATTTCCCTTTCCGTTGTCGCGTCAGAACTGCAACAGCGTTCGGAAGCGCAACGGTGATCGGAACTGAAAAAACAAAACGCGTTATACATGCCCGGTGGGGCATTCGGTCTCACGTCAGACGTGATAGCTTTGCGCGGCAGAGGAACAAAATCGTTACGATGTTAATTTTATGATATTATCGTTTAGTTCCGTTTACCTCGTTATGGATCCCATTATTTTAATAGTTTTGATATACGAGTATGAATCAGGAAAATTATTTTTGAAAATATGTTCACCTAAAGCATCAACAATGTTGAATGATATCGAATTCGCTTGGTTCGTAGTTATAGTTTAGTTGCGATATATTTGTCTGGTAACATTTAAAGCCAGTTGTTTAATCAATATTATTAATGGCCATTGTTTAAAAAAAAACACAACTTGAAATTAAATTTAGAAACTAAATAAAAACCAAATAAATGTAACTCTTTTGGACTGGCAGTATCCGAACGACGGTATTTAGCTGTTCCTAAACATTTTTTATCCCTTTTAGACGCCTGACAAAATTTAGATCAATAAGTACAGATTCATTTAAATTCATATAACCATTTTTAGAAAACAATTTAGATCAAATGGAATAATTTATTACCATTCAGAAATGTATTTCATCAAAAGATCGTATAACTAAAATATGTGATCAAATGTCTGTACTGTTAGCAACGTGATTAGTATTATATAATATATAATAGTTTATATAATAATATTTATTGAGTGTTAGCGTAATTTAATTTAAGTACACTTATTCAGTATGAGTATAATATGTAGAGGTGGGCAAAAAACATCGATGTTTTAACATCGATGTTTAGTCATCGATACATCGAAGACAATGTCGATGTTTTGCTTCGATGTTTTATCGATGTTTTTGAAATTTTTGTATTACAATTTTTTTCTCGCAGCTAAAGTTATCACACATGTTTTCATAGGCAGGATTAACATTAAACAAACAACGGAATCGATTAACATCCAAGCATTTAAATCAACTGTTATTTTTACAGTCTTTAGATGAGACTTTATGGTTAGGACGTTAGGTTAGTCAGTTAATTATGTACAGAGTCAGACAATAAAGTATATTATTAAAAAATATCAAATTGTTTTTTGTTATTACTCATGCATTAATGTTTAATTCAAAACAAAAATGCATAATATTGTATAATGTATATTGTATACCTACTTAGAGTTTAGACATAACATTTTTTAAATATCTAAAATATGTAACTATTAATTTATTTAATACCATTTAATATTTAATTAAATATATTAGACAAATAGTATTATCAATTTAATGACAATAAATTGATAAGGAAATAAGCAGTATAGGACTTATAGGTCATAGGACTATAATAGAAGTATACTAGTAGTAATTAGTAGCTAGTAGCTACTACCTAGTGCCTACTAGCTACTAGCAAGGACGCAGGGTAAACACTAAACTCGAGTACGCGAACCGGCGAACGTAATCGGGTCACTTATATGAACCATGATTCCCATTTCTATAATAGATCCTTTTGTAGACTTTTGTCTATAAAAGTTATTGTTACAAATAATATACTGAATTCTAAGACTTTTTTTGTTTATTTAAGTTTTTCCATGTTCTGAAAAAAATGTATGTTAAAACGTCGAAAAAACATCGATGTTTTTCTAGGAAATCCGATGTATCAACAACATCGATGTTTTAAGTTTCTATGTATCGATACATCGAAACATCGATGTTTGAAAATTTTTGCCCATCTCTAATAATATGTAATTTTAACATCGAAAAATAACGACGGTGATAGTATATTAAATTATCCTTTGGTTTATCCGATCATGATTTAATGTTCTTAAATTTATTTTAATTTCTCAAATTTTTGCATTTGACTCTAGTCATATAATTTATCATTTATCACTTCTATAAACATTAGAAATAAGCGAAGAGTTGTCATCATTGGTTTGAAAATGGATTCCGTAAACTATTCAGTATATGTTTTAGGGGTTAGTGATCGCAACAGTTGAATCATTGTGAAAAAACTCTTCTAGAGTTACGATGGCTGCTTCCGTGTTAATACATTTTACTGTGAGTGATAAATTGCAAGGTCAGGTAACCCTTAAATACCAGTGGCTAGGTGAATTTAAAATTACAGAGCTAATTGACATTTTACAAACAAATGATAATCACCCACCATTCAAATACTTATCAAAAATCTCGCCGTGTCTGTGATTTTTTGAAAAATTTTTGAATAGAAAATAAACCATAATAATTATAGTCTGTTTTCATGTAATGTGGTACAGTAAATTATTTACTGTACCACATAGCATTATAGAATATTTTTTTTTTTTCAAACATTGGTTTTAAATATTGGTTAATGGTAGAAAGAAACATAGGCGTGCGCAGACTTTTGGTTCCAGGGGTGCACACTAAAAATAGGGTCCCACATTAATTTTGAAAGCCATTATAAGTATATTTATATAAAATGCAAAAAAATAATTTTTTAAATAATTATTTTTTTAATAAATATTACATAACAATATGTCAACAGATATACGATCTTATAATAATAATCGACGTTTAAAAGAAATAAAATTATTGAATTCGTTAATAATTTCATTAAAATCTAGTTTACAAGCTAATTCTTGTTCTGTGAATATTAGTAATAATGATTTTAGTCTATCTTGGTCCATAGTACATCTAAGTTTATTTTTTACAATAATTAGTTTTGAAAATATCCTTTCGCATGTACAATTTGTTACTGGTATTATGGTAAATATTTTTAATATTAATTATGTGTTGTTAAAAATGTCTAAACGTCCACTCTCTTTTAACCAGTCCAACCACACATATACAAATTCACTGAATGTACCTTAACCATTTGGTACATTAGGCATATGTTTGAGAATTTTAATTTCTGCTTCCATTTCATCAATTGGTATATTGAATAATTTAGATAAAATATTTGAAAAACTGTTATTTAATTCTAACTTCAATAAATTTCCCACAACACTAATCAAACGTCTATATATAATATCTAACAATGTCCTATGTGAACGCGAATTTGCGGCTGGCCATATTTCGATTTTTTTGGTTTTCCGACGTGCAGTGTGTTTTTAAGTAAGTTGTGCGATGGTGGTACGGTAGACGTCTATGTTTATAAACTGCTATAGCACTTTTCGAATTTTAATTTTTAATGTTTATTTTTTTTAATTAAGTCAACTAAAAATGTCATTGATGATGCACGACCAAAAACAAAACGATTTGATTTTCAAATCGTGCACCGTTTATCGCGTACGATAGACAATCTAATCTATTTTTATATGATTGATAATTTTTTCGTCACGTTCACGTTGGACAAGACGTTAGGTTAGGCTGTTGTAAGGAAAGGTCCGGGGATGCCGGAGCACCCTCTGCGCCCTCTGTGCGCACGCCTAGGGCAGAGTGGCATGTTAGTGTGGGGAGACTGTGGGATGTTCGAGATAAACAAATTAAACAGAATAGGCCCGATTTTAGACGCTTGGGGAACTCTTGCTAGAATTGGTTTAGTTAGGTTAATCTCGGTAGTAATTTAGTAAGTAATTTAATACTTGTTAAAATGTTGGAAGGGATTTGAATCCCAACCCCCCCTTCGAAACGCCCCTGTTCGTAGGACAGAGTTTAACTTCCTCCACTGTATCAGTAAATATGAAATAGAACCATCGAACTAAAAATTATATTGTTTTGAAGGAATCCAAAACATTGAGCAATTAATAGATTTTGAATTAATCAGGGGTAAATGTGATAATAGTGGTAAATTTAGGGTCTGTCTATACCTTAGATCATATACATAGATTGTATATGATCTAAGGTCTATACGCAGTCGATTAGACCAACACCGTCGTTATCATTTTGTTGTTATCAAAAATAAAATTGTTATTATAAATATAATTTTGTCATCAATTATAAATTTATAATAAACGAATTACATTATTTTATTTGTTACAATGTAAATTAAGATATAAACTCAAAATTGTATTGTTGAATAATGTAGGCAGTCAAGTTGTTCTCAATATTTATTGTTTTCCCTGTATTTATTTATTTATAATTTAGACGTGCTTTATCTTTTAATTTAAGGATGGGTAGGTACAGGAACATTGATGCGGCCTGCAATTAAAATTAATAGTTGAGTAACAGTAGTACTATAAAGAATTTAAAACTGTAATATAGGTGCCTAAACAATACATTACAGTTCATTTAGTATACATTTTTACTACTTTTAGTATACATTGTTTCCTATTTGCTCAACTAATTTAAATAATTGTTTAAACTTTCAATTTTTAAAAATGATAAAAAATTAACTTATTAAGTTTTGTTGTTATTTTGTTTATTTTATTGATTGGTTTGGAGGATGTACATTGCATAACAACTTTAGTTGACCTCTATGTGTTTGTAATTAAATTGGGTTGTCATTCTAAAATTTTGAATTCTTATTTATTGATGTGCTATATGAATTTGTGAATTTTAAAATATGCTTTAATATACATATTGATGTATATTTGAATTACTAGGAGAAAAAGGAGTCGGAAAATGAAACCATTAACAAGTGTATGACATGTTAAAAAATAGGGCAGTAAATCTCAGTCACCCTGGGACCCAAAAATTGTAGTTGCGACACTAGTCAAGCATATTTATAATAGACTTTCTACTGCTTAAAATATATATACTGAAAACAAAATAAAAAAGTTAGAATTAGAACATACATTCCATGTAAAGAGTGAAGATGGTATATCTTAATATTACAATGTAACAAATAAAATAATGTAATTCATTTATTATAAATTTATAATTGATGATAAAATTATATTTATAATAATAATTTTACTTTCGATAACAACAAAATGATAACGACGATGTTGGTCTAATCGATTGCGTATAAACAGACCCGTAAATTTAGGATCGCAGTCTTTTATATCAACGTTAGTTCCGAAGCAAGGAAAATAGAAACAAATCCAATCTCTATCAAAAAACAAGATTCCAAAATATTATTTAAATTGATAAGATTTGATAAAAATTCGTTTCATATTGTTTTGTTGGTTTTCGTTTGAAATTTAATAACGTTGTGAAACACTTTGAAAAATTAAGTTATTTGTCATTTTTATATTTTATTAAATTCATTTGAAATGTCTGATGATGAAGATGGTGTACACAAATTGTCCGGTTACAATAACACAGAAGGTGGTTTGATCATTAAAAAAAAGCCAAAACCTGCTGAACAGTTTCAATTTAAAATACCTGACTTACCTAAGGGTTCACTTCTAGGGTTAGACAAATTAGCAAGTAATTGTTCTATTTTATTGATTATTTTAAATTATTTCCTTAAAGAAACTTATTAAATTCTGTGATTTTTTAGTTCAAAAACGGTTGGATCGAGAAGAAGAAAAAAACAGAAAGTCAAAATTACAACCATTTGCAGATATTGATGATGAAGGACAAAAGGTTGAAAATGCTTCTTCAATTGATGATTTAAAACACAAAAGCAAAAAACGGTACTATTTGACTTAATAGTAAGTTTTAATTATTAATTTCAAATAATTTAAATTGTATAGACATTATCGATCTGCTCATGAAGAAACTCCAACATATACTGGAGGGTTATCAAAACAAGCTATTGAAAAGCTTGAAAAATTGAAAAAACCTCATAACCGTGGTGTACATTATTCTACTTCAGATTCGAAAAATAAACGAGATCGTCACCATGAGAAAAGAAATTGTGAGTAGTATATATATATATATATATATATGTATATATTATTTTATATATTTAGTTAATTAAATATCTTTTTTTTTAGCTGATAGATATGACAAGAGGAATAGGCGAAATGAGCCATATAAAAACCATCCTAGAAGTCACCATGATCATCAGTCAAGTAGAACACCATCAATTAGACGTAAAGATGAACCTTTAACTCCTAATATCAGAGTTAGAGATACACCATCAAGGTTAGTCTTGTATTACAGATTTATTTACAACAATATTCATGTAAAAAATTTAGTAAGTACCATATGTCTAATATTATGTATTTGTATAATTTTAAAGTATTCACTATATAAGTAACTCTTATTACTGTTAAAATTTGAGTTTTATTATAATAATAATAAATTATTTTTAATTTTAAATAAAGTACTATTGGTTAGAGTAAAATTTTTGTTTCTTATTTTTATCATCAATGTATGAAATTTAAATATTTTATTATTATTTTTAAAGCATAATGTATAATTTTAAATTTTCTTATTACAATATTTTATTTAAAATAATTATTAATTTTTTCCATGCAACTTTTGAGAAAATAACAGTTAAATAACCTTAAGTACATGTCCGTATGACCTAAAACAAGTATAAAATAAAATATAACTTATAAAAAGTAACATTTACTGAGTCTAAATATTTATTTATATACTGTTTGCTGTATTAAAAAAAGAGTGGTTATGAAAACGAACGTCGAAGAGAAAAAAGTAAGAGGAAGCCCAAAAAAGAGATAGTTGAATGCGATTGAAAATGATATGAGGGCTGTTGATGTGTGCGTAGGGGATGTAAAAAATCAAGGCTAGTGAGGTTTAGGACAAAGGAGGTTAACCCCAAATAGTTGGGAGAAAAAGAAGACTGTTTACTGTATTGATGAAAGTATTTTTTTTTTATGTGCACAATCCTTAAAATTCTAGTTATTTATTTTTTATGCTAAAAAAAGTCTAATTTTTCATGTTTAGAACTGCTTGGGATGAAGATGATCATATGTCTATGTATAAATCATCTACTTGGGACATGCCAACGCCCAAAAGAAGTATTGATGATGATCCAACTAGAACTCCTAGGTTTACACCAGCTTATAAATACAACAAATGGGATAGCCATCGTGCTTCTGGAGCTACACCCAAACCAGGAAAAGGTACAATTGTATAACGTTTAATTGTTTTTTTATTATAAGATTTGTGGGTTACAAAAATTATATAATTTTATGTTGTTATTATCATTTGTAGTTTGAAAAAAAAAATTTTAATAGTGATCACTTTTAACTTAGAATTTATAATTATAATTTTAAGTGTTAAATAAATACAATAGTGAGTACAATTAATTTTATATTGTAGAAAATGACTTTTTATGGGCTAGTGAAACTGATCGTGATGAATGGGAAGAAGCTCAAAATCGATTAGACAGGCAATGGTATAATTTAGATGAAGGTGTTGATGAAACTAATAATCCATTCAGTGATGTCAGTGAATCATATGCTAAAAAAAAAGAACAACAATTGGCCCAGAGTAAAAAGAAACGAATGTCCGCACAGCAAAGACAAATTAATAAAGTATGTAAAATTTCTATTAAAAAAATGTTGGTACTAATTTATTATTTATTTCAGGATAATGAACTGTGGGAACGTAATCGTATGTTGACTAGTGGTGTAGTAGTATCTGTTGACTTAGACGAAGACTTTGATGAAGATAATGAAGCTAGAGTTCATCTCTTAGTACATAATATTGTACCCCCCTTTTTGGACGGCCGTATTGTATTCACCAAACAACCAGAGCCTGTTATACCAGTTAAAGATCCAACTTCAGATATAGCTATAGTTGCCAGAAAAGGTTCAATGCTGGTTCGAACTTTTCGAGAACAAAAAGAAAGAAAACGCGCGCAAAAAAAACATTGGGAAGTAGCAGGTACTGCTATAGGAAATATAATGGGGGTCAAAAAGAAAGAAGATGATAAAGATGAACGGATTGATGAAGAAGGAGAAACAGATTATAAAACTGACCAGCAGTTTGCTGAACATATTAAAAACACTCCAGAAGCCAGTAGTGATTTTGCTAGAAAAAAAACATATTTACAACAGCGGCAGTACTTGCCTGTGTTTGCAGCCAGACAAGAACTACTAAATGTCATCCGAGAAAATAACATCGTCATTGTAATTGGTGAAACAGGTAGTGGTAAAACTACTCAACTAACCCAGTACCTTCATGAAGAAGGATATAGCAAGTTTGGTATGATTGGCTGTACTCAACCTAGAAGAGTTGCTGCCATGTCAGTGGCCAAGCGTGTTTCAGATGAAATGAACACCAAACTTGGAGAAGAAGTAGGATATGCAATTCGTTTTGAAGACTGCACTTCTGAGGTTTGTACAACATCAAATATTTTAAATAAAAATATTATTCATAATATAATATTATATATAAATAATTGTCTAAATTTCTGGCTAACTTTTATAGAAAACTGTTATAAAATATATGACTGATGGTATATTACTTCGAGAATCATTGAGAGATCCAGATCTAGACAATTACAGTGCTGTTATTATGGATGAAGCTCATGAAAGATCATTGAACACAGATGTTCTATTTGGTCTGCTAAGAGAAGTAAAAATATAATACATTTTAATTTCCAAATTCACCATAGTTTTTTAACCATTATAATATAACATTAACCAGGTAGTAACTAGACGTACTGATCTCAAATTGATTGTGACATCAGCGACTATGGACGCATCCAAGTTCTCTCTGTTTTTCGGTAATGTTCCAACATTCAACATTCCGGGTCGAACTTTCCCTGTTGAAGTAATGTTCAGCAAAAATCCATGTGAAGATTATGTTGAAGCTGCTGTAAAACAGGCATTACAAATACATTTACAACCTCATGAAGGAAAGCTTAACAATTTAATATTTTCAAGTTAAATAAATATTTAAAATTTGCAATAACTATTATTTATATTTATTAGGTGATATCTTAATATTCATGCCTGGTCAAGAGGACATTGAAGTTACATGTGAAACACTGGCAGAAAGATTAAATGAAATAGCTGATGCCCCACAGTTATTAGTGCTTCCAATTTATTCTCAACTGCCTTCAGATTTACAAGCTAAAATTTTTCAGAAATCAAGTGATGGATTGAGAAAGTGTGTTGTTGCTACAAATATTGCAGAAACTTCGTTAACAGGTAATTAATGATTTTATACCAACTGTGTATATATCTATAAAATGTATGCTGACTAATAATTTTAGTTTATTTGAATAATTAATATAATTATAAATGATCATTTAGTCATTTTATCAAATGCGCACATATTTTTTATTATAGTCGATGGAATAAAATTTGTTGTTGATACTGGTTATTGTAAAATGAAAGTTTACAATCCTCGAATTGGTATGGATGCATTGCAAATCTATCCCATCAGTCAAGCCAACGCTAACCAAAGAAGTGGTAGAGCAGGTCGTACTGGCCCTGGTCAATGTTTCAGGTATAATGAGTCTTATAGTTAATATCTATCTAGTCAAAATATAATTGTGTATGAAAATTTGAAATTAAATAACTGCTAAAAAAAATTGAATTAAAATCAATATGGTATTAAAATTAAAGACTATACACTGAGAGACAATACAAAGATGATTTGCTTATGGGCACGGTTCCTGAAATTCAAAGGACCAATTTAGCTAACACTGTATTGTTATTGAAATCATTGGGAGTGCAAGATTTGCTTCAATTCCATTTCATGGATCCTCCACCACAAGTATTATTTTCTACAATATGAAAATCATATAAGTAAATGATTTTTATCAATTTTTTTTTTTTTTTAGGATAATATATTAAATTCTTTATATCAGTTATGGGTACTTGGTGCTCTAGACAATACTGGAGAATTGACGTCCCTTGGACGTCAGATGGCTGAATTTCCATTAGATCCTCCTCAGTGTAAAATGTTAATTGTGTCGGCTGCAATGAAGTGTACAGCAGATGTACTAATCATTGGTAATAAATTATTATCAGAATGTATTTTATAGTGTAATTTATGTTTTAGAAAATCAAATTAATTTTAATGTTATTTTATAGTTTCCATGTTATCCGTTCCCTCTATTTTCTACCGACCTAAAGGCCGTGAAGAAGATTCTGATAGTGTTCGAGAAAAATTCCAAGTACCCGAATCTGATCATTTAACGATGTTGAATGTTTATAACCAATGGAAGCAAAACAAGTAAGTTGTTATGATAAAATGTTGATTATATATGCAATTATTTTGTCAAATATTTATAGTTACTCAGCATCGTGGTGTAATGAACATTTCATACACATAAAAGCCATGCGTAAGGTTCGTGAAGTCAGACAACAACTAAAAGATATTATGGTTCAACAAAAAATGGAAATCATATCTTGCGGTACAGATTGGGATATTATACGCAAATGCATTTGTTCGGGTTAGTGATGAGAAAAAAAAATGTTCCCCATTGTATTATGTATGTGTTATTGATTTAATTAATTTCTTCAGCATATTTCCACCAAGCAGCAAGGTTGAAAGGTATCGGAGAATATGTAAACTGTCGTACCGGCATGCCTTGTCATTTACATCCTACATCAGCTTTGTTTGGCATGGGCTTTACGCCTGACTATGTAGTTTATCATGAACTTATAATGACATCTAAGGTAAATATCAATAAAATATATACAACTTTGTGAATGTTTTTGTCTATAAACTCAAGTTCATACTTCTTGTTCATTTGATGCATAATTGATAATTTTTTAACATTATTTATATTTGAACTAAAATGAAATTATGTAATATGAGGTAATAATTTTATTTATTTTAATTCTTATAATAGTCATAAAATCTGTTATAAACGTTTTGTTAAATGTTTTTGATTTTGATTAAATGTATACATGTTTAAAACTACATTTAATAAATGATATTTTGATAAGTTTATAATTTTCATAACTTAATAGGAATACATGCAAACAGTGACAGCTGTAGACGGTCACTGGTTAGCTGAATTAGGCCCTATGTTCTTCACTGTGAAGGAAACTGGTAAATCAGGATCAGCCAAACGACAAACCATGGAAACATTGCAGGAAATGGAGGGCTCCATGAGAATAGCCCAAGAGGAAATGAAGGCACGGAAACTTGAAGAAGAACGTAAACAATTGGCTAGCATCAGAAAGTAATCATACCATCATTCACCATATGACAATTGTTTTTAACTCAAAATACATTTTTCCAGGATTGAAATTATTACACCAGGTAAATGGGAACCTGGCACCCCAACACTTCGTCGCAAACAAGGAAACCTGGGTTTATAAGCAATTAATTTTTTATTTTAGTATAACCTCAACCATGAAAATTAAAATACATTTCATGACTGAATGGTGATAAAAAAAAAAAAAAAATACAATGACATTTAAACTAGAGACTTGCAAGTGTTTAGCGTGCATTACGATATAGTGTGCGTACAATTTATAAATTATACACAAATCATAATTTTTCTTGTGATCATTAGTATATGTATTCATTGCATTGCAGAACTTTGATTTTCCTGTAAATATATATATATATATTTTTTTTTTTAACATAAATATATGTTTGAAGTTGTAAATAAAAATTAATTTAAAATATAATTTTGTACAGTCCAATTCAAAATATGACAATGCTAAAAAAAGTTTTTATATATTACAAAAAAAACTAAAATACAAGCCTATATATATATATATATTATATATAGTATGTATAACTGGCATACAAATATTTTTAGTTAATTTATATACATAAAAGTTTCCTATTAATTAAAAAAAGAAAAATTATATATTGCTTAGCGTATTATTTACAATTCACATACTAAAATAAGTTGCACATAAACATATATACCTTGATATAAGATCCGGACTATAAAAATGAATTTAATATTGAAAGTCCAAAATTTTAAACTGAATATACTGAAGAAAATAAACCATCAGTCATAGAGTATTATAAATTCTAATAAGTGATCATTTTATATAATTTAACTAGGGGAAGAACAAAAGATATGTGCAGTCATCATTAAGTCTGTTATTTCTATATTCTAAAAAGCTAAAATTAAATTAGTATATAAAGTTAATACTAAAAATAAAAATAATTATTTCAAATAAAATAATGTTTTTGTTTATATTTAAGTTTAAGATGAATTACATTTGGTGTAAATAGTTTACAGCCTATTTTATTTAAAAAAAAGTACATAATCGGAACTTGTGGCAATTCAGTAAATTATAATCTTTACAAATTCATTAATTTTATTTACAATGCACAATATTATTCATACAAAATTAGAATATTGAATGTTAAAATTGAAAAATATGTAATTTTCTTATTATAAAATCTCTGTTTATTATAATTGCATAAGAACTAAAATATTATATAATAGTGTTCGATAAGTTTTTAGATTTAAAATCAACAATACAATTATATTGAAACTATAAAAGCAATAAAGAATAAATGATATTTGTCTTAAAATTATTAAAAATAAATGTTTTCTATATTTACAAAAATGTACAAACCAATATTCAATAATGATAAAAACAAAACATAGTTTTTTCAATACATATTGATTTATAATATACTACGCATCAGTATGAACTACACTATGTTTTTTCAAATATTCTTGATTCAAAAATGATTTTCCACACTGATGGCAAACAGCAGATGAGAAATTTACTCGATCGTGAGTAGCATAATGTCGTCTCAACGAAGCTAATTTTAAAAATGACTTGTTACAAACAGTGCACTCAAAGGGCTTAACACCTGAATGAATCATAACATGATTTTTCAAATGAGATGTGCTCTTAAACCTTTTTAAACAAATGTCACATCGATGGGGCCGAGACTCCGTATGAGAAGCCTTATGAGCAATCAAAAATGATTCTTGAATAAAAGTTTTATTGCACACATCACACCTGTGCACAGACCGATGATTGGAATGCATGATGGCATGCTCCTGTAGATGTAAGGCATGATTGAACGTAGCACCACATTCTTTACATGAATACTTGGGTTCTGCTTGACCACTATTGTTGGTACAATTTCCAGATATCATGTGTTCATTGAGCTGCTCAAATGAAAAAAAAGATATACAGCATGATGGACACTGATGTTGTAACGTAAGTTTTTGATCATCTTTTGAGTGGGTTAATGAATGTTTTTTTAAATTGGATGAGTCAGCAAAGGCCAAACCACATACATCACATGCAAATGGACGACAACCAGTATGTGTAAGCATATGACGCTTAACATCTGATGGACGAGTAAATCCCTTATTGCAAATACGGCAAGGAAAAGGTTTTCGACCTGTGTGTGTTATCATATGAGCTTTAAGATTACTTTGATTTGTGAATGTCGCTTCACATTTGACACATGAAAATGGTTTTTCTCTTGAATGCACCAATTTATGTCTTTGCAATTCCGAAGGTTTGCTAAATGCTTTATCACAAGATGTACATGGATATGGCAAACCACCATTATGAATCATTGAATGCACTTTCAAATTATAGTTTGTAATAAATGACATAGAGCATACTTGACAAACAAATGGACGTTCACCAGTATGTATCATCATGTGACGTTCTAAATCAGATGGACGCCTAAATGATTTTTCACACATAGTACATGGATGGGGCTTTGCTTTAGAACTAGCTATTAAATGTCCACACAAATTACTAGAATAAGTAAATGTCATGTTACAAGTTTTACAATGCAACGGTCGTTCGCCAGTATGAACACTTGAATGACGTTGCAAACAAGATGGCTTAAGAAAGCTCTTGTCACACTCTGTACAAGTATACACAGCACTACCAGTATGTTTCATGATGTGAAGTTTTAAATCACTTTTATTTGCCACAGTTATACCACACTGATCACAAATAAATGGAGGATTTTCTGTATGAACAGTCATATGACGAAATAATCTATAACTTGAGGGGAATTTCTTATCACATCTAAAAAAATATAAATAAAATAAATAAATAACTCAAAACATATAAAAAGTGTATAAGTAAATAAAACCTTACTTTTGACAAGGGTGCAGTTTCTGGCGAGAGTGTACTTGAGCGTGTTCTTTTAATGCTTGGTCATCAGAAAATACTAATCCACAAACTTCACAGTGGTGCAACTTAATATTACGATGTTGAACCAAATGTGCACTCAATGCATTTGCTTTATCAAATTTTTCTCCACAAACCGTACATAAAAATTTACATTCTACGTTATGACCTCCGTGAGTTGTGTCATGAGATTTTAAGGTATTTATGTCAGCAAATCTTTTACCACATTTTTGACATTGCAACTCGTCCATTGGGTCAGGTCGCATGAGACTTTGACAAGTTTCAACAGCTTCATTAGCCATATCAATTGCCATTGAATCCTTACCTTCAGCAACATAAATTTCTGCTGCACCACCTTCTTGATTAGATATATCCACATTTTCAATTTTTAAGTTATTTAATTGAATTTGACCAGCTACACTTATTTCTTGTTGGCCATTAATTATTTTGGCTAAATGTTCAACAGTCATAGTACCAACTTCTTCTTGGTCCAACAATAAATGGGCTAAATCCTAAAAAAATATTCGACAAAATTATATTTATAATATTTATCAAATTAAAATATATTTAATAAATAAAATATTTTATAAGCACTTAAAACTAAAAGCATAAATTTAAAAAAAAATAATGAATTTTCTATCATTAAGTTAAGCTGCTTACCCCATTTAATCCTTGAACAAATATTCCATATCCAATATTTTCATGGACCCTAAAAAAGTACATAATTTACAATATTAATATTAATTAAAAATAAAAACATAAATAATAATTATAATTATTAAAATATTTTTTGTACAGATACTTTTTATATTCATTGTTATAGCATTATTAATAAATTGAAAACATTTGTAAAAACAAGTTTAATTTAATTAAAAAAAAATGTATTCTAAACAAATTATTAGAAAACTATAAAAATAAATGTTTTTAATAGTTTAACTTTAATTCATATTAAAATTAACAATAATTAATACATATTATAGATATCAAATTACTTGTAAATTATTAATATATTATGCTGAAGAGATTACCTTAACTTAGCATCATGCATATTATCAAAACAAAAATTAACTACCATCATTACCAGATTGTATTACAATATGTTTATACAATTTCTTATAATGATTATTTTTATTATTTGTTTAAATTTAAAGGTGCTAAAATCATAAACATTTTGTCAATTAGAGAATCATATCGACGCCTCAGTTCAAGATTGCAATAAATCAAATTATGAACTACTGGTTCTAGAATGAAATAAACGACCTCTAGAGATGAATGATGCAACTAAAAAGTTATTGCATTACAGTATCGAAATTATTGTAATTTTGCAAATAATATCATGTAGATAACTCAATTCTGAATATTTTCGAGTTATTGCTGTCTTGAACTGAGATGACAATAAATACAAAAAACAAAATATTAAATAATTATAAAAATTAAGACTGTAATTTAAAAAACATTTTATAAAAATTTCTTACCGTCGGTCATCTGATCCTTCAACAGTTGCTCCTTGGACAGTAACCAAACGTTTTTCCCCAGACTTTTCTGTCACCACAATTTCTACACCACCGTTCATATCTAAAATAAAATATAATAAATAAATATCACATGACATCATAATAATAAATATTTTGTTGCACAAATTAGAATTTTAAACAGCTATTGCTTCAAAATATCTCAGTTTTTAACTTTATATTTAAATACTATATTATAAAATTTAAGAACAATTTCTAAAATATAATATATTTTTTATTAAATATACTACATACCAATACTTTTAATAATATAAAAGTTAAATATAAAAATCACATATGAGACTAGCCTTCCAAAATAATATCACATAACATCACATTAAACATCAAAATCCAATTCAACTTTTATACATGTTTTTAAAACATAACCAAATCTACCTAATATCATAAGAAAATAATAGATAATAATTTTAAAATCTTGAATGCAAAAATATATTAATTATTCTTCTAAAAAAAGATTTTGAAACAACCTTAAATAAAATAATGCATATGAGCCTATAACCCTTACTTTTGTTTAGCATTTTTTTTTACCACAGAAATCAATTATGATCACAATGTTTTTAATTGGATACAAAATAAATAATTAGTAAAATAGATTAAACAATCACAAGTTTTTAAGAAACATAAATAATTTAGGCATGATAAGAAACTTAAATATTTAAAAAAATTACAAACAAAATTTGAACATTGATAATTAAAAACCATTAACATTTAAAAAAAAAAAATAACTATATTCATTAAACAATATATTATTATGTATAAGTATACAGAATAATCAAATGTTTGATAAAACCAATAAGCTTAGTAGACAAAAGACATTGATTTTAAAATTCTTATTGAGGTTAAAATCAGCTGATGAGAAAATTATATTGTCTAATGGGCAGCATGTATGATTGCAAAAAATCTTACCTATTAGTTCATAAAATTAATTTAAAAAATATCAGTGGATTTAATGACTAAAATAATAAGAAAAAATCAAAAGAAATGAACTTTGATTACTATAATTATTAAATCAAACCTAAAGGCTGATTTTTTCTCATTAGAAACAAATTTAATTGGATACTTTTCAAAATAATAACATTTAAAAAAATGTATCTAACAGTAAAGCGAATATATATTAAGCAGTGACAGAAATTTAATACAATTAAGTAAACAAAAATACTTAGTACTCGAGTATAATTTGTAAAAAAATCATTGATAACAATATGTAAAATATGATTATTACTCACATAAACCTAAAACTTTCTTTATCCTTTACAATAATTGCACTGGCTAAATTATTAATGGGCGGGTTAATAGGTATGATACAGTTTTAAACATGTACATACCAAGTATAAAATCGACCTATTTGTAAAAAATGTGATGTCAAAACAATTAAATGGGTAATCTAATGTAAACTCATGAACACACAAAGAATAACAACCTGTGGATAATATTATTACGACATAATGGCAATAAATATAAATATTTGATAAACATTTTTTTGAATCGGCTGACGTCGTTTAAAAACACATTTCGATTGGAACGGAAACGATCGACATGTCCGACGAGATAACAAATATTTTCTAAAATAGAAATAACTACGTAAAATACATTAACATTACTTGCTAACGGCGTAACGATCTGCGTGCGACAGTCCTATTTCCACACGGCCAGCAATCCTCATCGACCCAACAACACGCCAATTAGATTCGAATTATTTTCTTTCGAGGGCGAAATACGGGTAGCGACGAATTACGAGGAAATAAAAATTTAAAAAAACCGTGCGCACCACAACGAGCGACGTACCAGTATCGATGTCATAAACAATAATTGTCCGATATCACGATAACACCGAAACCACCTACAACGTTTTTCGATTTCTCCATTTCGCGTTATAACAAAACAATATAATGTATAGGTATAATATTAATTCATTACTTTCAACAATCTTAACTGTTACTGTTAATTATTATTATTACTAATATTAATATTATTATTGTAACTATTACTGCGGATCGGATTTTATTACATCACACCGTAACATTACTTTATTGTTGAAAAAACTACCGTGATGATGATAGCGTCGGACGAGATAATATCAAAATATCAAACCCGTCGATAGACGGGAATAAAAAAATAAAAAAACACAACATTACTACACATTTTCACGAATGGTGACGCTCAGGGTCGGGGGGATCTCCTTCGCGATTGGCATGGAACGCGAGCGAATCGCACGCACCACACGGGCGGCCCGCAGTGCAACACACACACACACGCAACACTGTACGTCACGGTGGTTGGCAGCACTGTCGGCCGCGTTCCATTGTCCCAGTCACGAGCGGAACGGCGGGGTTTAACGGGCGAGACGGTACACGAGGGCGAGGCGAACGATACTTTTTACCCATCAAGGACAAACCGGTCGGTGGCGGTGACGGCCGCCGCGGCGTAAACAACGTCCTTTATTTGTTTATTTTTTTTTTCGTTTTTCTTTCACTCCTACCCGTGAGAACGATTTCGAGGAAAATTATACCTATTTTTTTCCCCCCACCACCCCTTAGCCCGTCATCCATCACGAAACCGGCGGAACACGCAGGACAGTTAATTCATAATATATAATGTACCGTGCGCACATAATAATATGTAGAGGCGCTTTTACACACTAATGCACAATAATATCAACGCGTTGCCATGTTACGTTTACCGCGCACGCACGTCTTCGTATGTCGGTGAACACGACGTGCTGCACACGCACACGGGTCGAGGGTACCCGAAACGTACCTCGTGGACTGGTAAAAACGCACGTTCGACCCGCTCATCTACCGCCGCCGCCTCGAGTCCACGGCACGCAAAGCCAAGCGAGTGCCCTTTTTTTTCCTTTTCTTTTTTTTTTTTTCCTCCCCAAAAATCTAATAATATTATAGTTGGCACTCGTCACTGCCGTACGTGCAGAAGACGCGGCTGCATTTCGAAGGGTATTCCGTGCCGTTTCAACCGACCGTGTGTTACGCGTCTACAAACGTACGTACGAGTCAAACGAAAATCCAACTTTTCCGGCATGCCTTGATAATGATCGCTGCCGTGTACTATGACCAAGTTTTTAGTTTTTCCCTAAATGGTGTTCGATTTCCGTGCTATAGGGTTTACGCATGTTTGTATGCCGTGGTAATGCGGCTCGATAACGCTCCCGAAATCCCATAAAACAGTGGTCTCAAACACGCGGGCCACGAGCCATTTCGATGTGGCCCGTAATGAATTTCTTTGATTTTTTATTTTTCCTTTTATAAAATATTTTATTTTTCGACAGCCTGATACGAAAAAAGAATTGTCAAGTATCAAATGCTGCTCGAAAATAAAAATAAATTATTATAATTACTTATTAAAAAAAAAAATCAATACACAGTACAATGTCAGTTTTTGTCATAGAGAAATACATTTTGTCTTAATTTATTTTGTTATTTTAGATTTAATATTAAAATGAGCAAAAAAAAAAAAAAAAGTTTCGCCCGCGAACCTTTTACGCAAATATATACAGCCCGTTAGTAATTTGAATTTGAGATCACTGCCATAAAAATTATACTTCACATTTTAACGTTTTGGTGGGAAAATACGATGGATAGTACATATTTCAAATATTTACAGCTAGTGCTGTAAGCTCCTCCCAAAAAAAAAATCCTCCGGGAACGCCTGAACAGTACATATTACGCACGCTGAGTCATCGACCTTATTTTCTTAGAATCGGTGACAACTCATCGGCAATTTTTAAGGTTGCATTTTTCTATATTTCAAAAATATGTGTTAGATATTAATGCATCGTATTGGCTTTTAATATCAACTTTTTGAAAGTACAATAGATTGAAGTTATACAGTAGTTTGTAAGTAATTTAACTTTTCGTAGTTCACGCGTCGGTTTTGCCCATTATTTGTCATAGCGTAATCATTAAATTTGTTCGAAAACCACACTATTTGGAGTTAACATGTATTATGTCTGTGGTTATGTCACAGATTAAATTATATTTTTATCTAAGGTTATAGTGCGTATTTTCAGTTGCTGGTCTTAGTGGACGTAGATACACACTATTTTTTTTTTCTTATTAATACCCTTGAAAATATTTATTTACTTTTAAGTATTCGTTAATTCTTCAACTAAGTAAGAAATATTGTACCGATATCCCTACAATTGGTTAAACATATGCACATTGCTTACTAAATTCAGTATAAAAATATAATGTAAATAATAAATATTAAAAATTATTATATATATATATATTATACATTATTAATGTATAACCTATAGGTACAAAAATGTAAAATTAAATTATGCATATGATAATAGAATTGCAAGTAACTACATTAAAATTAATAGCCTTAACTATCAAATTTATTTCAATGAATTTAATATTATCGTATAATATTACGTTTATTTGTAAGGTCAACACATATTACATAGAATCGGAAGTTATGCAAAAGCGGTTTTTATATTCAAATTTCGTTAGTAAATATGTCCTTACAAAATTTGAACAAAGTAAATATGTCCTTTAATAAATGATTCATAGTTTCAGATTTCGATCAATATATGTCTACGGATAACTTGCAAGAAAAATTTTTGTTTTATTTGGATTAGAAAAATTAGAATATTGTTTTTTTTTATTTTAATTCATTACAATCGTAGTAAAAATGTACAAAAACTATATAAATACCTTATAGGTACAATAGTAAATATTACATTTTATTTTTTTGTATATTTTTTAAATTTGTCGCCACTATAAACATATATTAATAATATTCAGATAAAAAACGGCATATATATATATATACACTATAGATTCCTTAAAAATATAATAGTTCTAATGTGATTACTGACTGCAAATTAGTAGTCAGTTGTCCATCAGATTATTAACAGTATCATTGACCAAAAAAAAAGTGACAAGGACAGTGTTAACGGTTTCGTAAATATTCTGAGCATACATAAATAATACATCCAAAGACTAAATAATATTTTACGTCTATACCCAGTTGTGAACTATTCATTTTTGATAATTTGCTCACTTCGATACGAAACTGTGTTTTAATATTATAATCTACCAAAAAACTCATCTGTTTACCTCGCGTTTTGGTCGATTCGCTGCAGCTGTTTAACGATTTCGTTTTTTTTCCGTTAGACCTTATTACCGTCTGTTTAGCAAACTTTTTTCAGTAATCTCTATATAAATATTACATTTTCCATGAGCCATGTGTCAGTTTTTCCGGTGCTGCGGGTTTTTCACAATGTTTTCCCGGGCTAAAAATGTATTTACCTTAAAATCTGACCTTTATACAGGCCTCGATCGGATGGCTAAGAAATTTATAGTATTATGATAGTTTAATAATAATGAGGTTAATTATTATTTACTCACCATCTTGTAATCTTCCTAATAGTAATTTTCTCAATCGGTAATTAGCCTATTGATAAAATACCTAATACATTAATTCTTATATGGACTAACATTTAAATTCCACCTAAATTGATATTTAACGCATTTTTCAGGCAATGCGTGTATTAAGATATACAATTTTTCCATTGAGTGTAAAAATGTGGACAGTGTGTTTATAGTAATTCACAATAATATATTATTGTATTAAAATAAAAACTTTACATACCTATCTATTAAAATTATTCTCAAATTGGCATGTTTAAGTCTTGATTAAACATGCTTCCCAACGAGAACTTTATAATTCAAATTTATTAAATTTATTTTAAGTTTATAATTTTAATAAAATATTTTGATTGAAATATATATATATAGAACAATGATGGGATTCAATCATAGATTTAAGAAAAAAGCTATTTGATATTAATGACTGAAATAAAATTATTTTAATCTAATACTAATTATATTAAGATTACAATAAAAAACAAATTACTTCGTTTATGGTAACATACTTTGTTACTTTGTGGTAAATAAAAAAAAAATCCATAATTGAGGTTATCTATACTGCTACACAAAAATACATATTTGAGGGAGATCCTCGATACGAGTATTGACATTGACCAACAAAACAAAATTTAAATTTTTCAGTGACAGGTTGCTTATATAAAAAAAAGGCAGGAAATGGATATTCAACTTCATAGAAAGATAAAGGATATAATTTTCTCTTGCATCAATATATTATTAGTGATTGACTTGAAGAGGGGAGGAGGGACGCATTACCCCAACTAATTTTCCAAAATTTTAGCATCTCCTACTATTATTACGTTATAATTATAACGCTTCACAAGTTTTGGGGACGTTCTTTTTTAAAAGTAAACAGAGTCCACTTTTAATTTTGCCAAGTCAAGAACTGAACATTATGGTATTTAGGTTATAGTTACTAATAATTTATAAGTAATGGTTAATTTAATTTTAAATTTAATTGATACAATGATAGTTAATCATAGTTAGTCTTTCTTTTAATAAAACACCAACAAAAATGATCCAAAACTTATAGATTAAATAAAAAAATTGAGTTTAGTATTTTTCAGAAAAGTGTGGCTGGAACTAAATATATTGAAAAAAAAGTTAGGTTATTAAAATCGACAGATGGTGTGATAAAGGATAGTCTTTCAAAAACTTAGGAATTTGATAAGGGAGTACACGTCCTTATCATTAATTTCCAAAAAGCATATGGCTCTATTTACATAGAAAAAGCATATAGAAAATACTTTAGGAGTTCAAATTCCTCAATAATCTAATAAATCTAATTATGATAAGTGTAATGGAAACAAAAGTAAAAGTTAAGATTAGTAGCCCGATTTCGGATCTGGTATAAGTAAAATCTGGTTTAAGATAAAGCGATGTCCTATCATCTATCTTATTTAACCTAGTTTTAGAAAAAGTAATAAGGGAAAGTAATATAAACCAACAAGGCTATAAACTACAAAATTCATCAATAGGATTACTATCATATGCAGATGATGTAGTTTTATTAGAAGAATCACATGAGAATTTTTAAACATTAGTACATTACTGAATATAAATATACACATTTTATATAAATACAACTTAAATATAAAATATAAAACTCATTTTGCACCCCTAAACTTATTAGGTCCACCTCTTTGTTGTCCAGCACCTCGGTTGTTACCACCAGCTCCTCGTCCACCAAACCCTAAAATATTATAAATGTATTAACCTAAATTAAACATAATTTGATTCTAAACAAAAGTATGTTCATTCAAAAATTATTTATGTAAATAAATTAACTTTAATTTTTTTCAGTCAGTAAATACTCATCAAAGTAAAAATTAAACTATATGAACCAATGTTTGTAAAATACATTCAAACTTAAAAAGTGCTAGTCATTTTACCTTGTCTAGCACCTCTTGGAGCACGATTTTTCTGGTTATCAGTACGACCTCGGGCTTTGTTAACAACAATATCTTCTTTCACCATATCAAATATTTCATCTGGTATTCTCAAATACTTAATCATACTACCTCTGATATAACATTCTGGAAGCCTCCAAAATCTATCTCCATCCTAAAATAAAACAAAAGTCATTAATTAATATGTAGGTAGGTACATAAATAAAATGAATGATCATTTGTTTAATTATTTATAATTGTATAATGTGAAAAATATTTATTAATAAATAATTTTTTTCAGTTTTGATAACTAATTCATATTACATAGATTTTACACTTATACTATATTATGTTTAACAATCTATATTAGCGGTTCTCAAACTTTTTTTAATCACAAATCCTCAAAATAAAAATAAATTAATCACACCTTCCAATAAAATATTTTTTATTATTTAAATATAAGGAAATCATTATCAATCTTTAAAATAAATAAATGGTAGTGCAATATACAATATAAATAAGTGCTTATGACTCTCATGGAAGGCTTGCCTCACAGTATTGGAGTCACTGATCTATATAATCAAATTGACACATTTACATTCAGGAATATACAGTAGTCGCTCGATAATTCAAAATTCAGGGACTGAGCTAAAAATTCGATATAAAGAGGTTTTCGATTTACCGAGTATTCGTATAATCGAAGGGAAAAAATTAATTCAAATTAAAGAAAGGTGAAAAATTATATGTTTATATTACATTTATTTATTATACATATTATATTATATTTTACATTTATTTATTATATTATTATATTTTAGATTTTAAAGAAATCTGTTCTTTTTTTTTTGTGTTAAATTTTTGGCCACAATCTGGTCCGTAACGTTATCTAACTTACTGATAGCACTGAAAATTGTATCGCATCCTTTTTCGTCCATTTCAGAATGCTCGAAAAATTTTCGTAATGTTGACATAAAAATGATAAATTATACGATTAAAGTCTAGATTAGGTAGGTAAGGTGCGATAAAATGTATAAACTACGATATTTAATTGCCGTCGTTATAAATTTCATTACGAGTACGTCAAATATATGTACATATGAATATACTTTATACGTATGAACATACGTATAACCGCGTTAAAGGAAATTCGAATTTTAGGTTCTAGAAAAAAAAATTCGAATTGAAGATTGAGTCCCCCCAACAGACATTTCGAATTATTGAGGGGACTGGAATACATGTATTTTCTTCTAATTATAGAGGTTTTCTCAGGGGACTAAGTTTTTAGTTCGATTTATGGAGTTTTTCGAATTATCGAGTGACTGCTGTACTTCTAGTGCCAATTTTATTTTGTATGGCTGGTATACAAATAAACATAATTAAGGTCATAATATAAATCAAATATAAATATAAATATAAATATAAAATAAAGAAATAAAAATACATAGTTATTATCTACAGATAAATCCATAGTCATTAACTCATAATGCTATGTATAACTAGTTCTCGAATCTATTTTCATCATGATCTAAAGGCAATGCCTTGTCGAAATAGCCATGTGTGTCAGTCCTTTGCAGCTTCTTTTAATTTTTTGTAAGATACGCAATCCATCTTCTCTTTTATGTCATGAAAATAATTAGCTCTAAGTCTTCCTCTTGGTCTTCGTCCCATTATTTTTCCTTCAAATATGTTATTAAGAAAATCATTGTGTCGAATAAGATACCCAATTCATTTGATTTTTCTCTCCATTATGTTTGTTATTAGACTTCTTTTTTTTCTTATTTCATTTAAAACTTTTTCGTTTGATTTTCATTCCATCCAATTGGTCTTTAACATCTTCCTCCACAGCCATATTTCCATTGCTTGTAGGTAGTTCTTATCTTTTTAAGTATTTGTTGCTCATGTCTCACATCTATAACATAAGACACTCCATACAAAAGTTTTAATAACATTTTTACGAGTTTTTAGTTTAAGGTGTCTGTTACTAAATATATTATACTTTTTGAGGAAAACTTGCTTGGCAAGAGCTATCCTCCTCTTTATGTCAGCCGTTACTTGGTTTCTATTCATAATTAAGCTTCCCAAAAAACAAAACTCATTAACTTGTTGTATATGGTTGTTTCTTAGTTTTATATTTACTTTATTTTTGCTATTAATCTTACTTATCAACATTTTTTTTGTTTTTTGCCCATTGATCTTCAGTTGGTACTTATCGAATATATCCGCTAAGGTGTTGAGCATTTTAATCATATAATTTTGAGACTTAGCTAGCAGAACAATGTCATCTGGAAATTGGATGTAGAAAATCCTTTATCCATTGATCTTTATTCTTCCTGTCTTATTTTTCGGTTCATTTAATGATGCTTCAATGAAAATATTAAATAAATATGGTGATAGTGGGCATCCTTGCCTGACTCCTTTTCTAATTTTTGCTTGTTTTGCTCCATAAATATAAATTATAGTTGTCTGAGCTTTATACAGTTTTAAAATAAGTCTTCTATCTCTCCAATCAGTTTTTCAGCATTCTAAATAAACACATCCAATTTATTTTATCAAACGCTTTCTCTAGGTCTATGAAAGTGGCTTATGTATTCCTATTTACATTTAATCTTCTATCAAGAATTTGACATAGTGCTAGTATTGCTTATCTTGTCCCTCTTTCCTTCTTGAAACCAAATTGATCATCTCCTATTTGGTTTTCTACTTAATTCTTCAACCTATGTTTTATATCATTTAGAAGTATTTTTGATGCATGATATAGGATGGAAATTGTCCTGTAGTTAAAGCATTCACTTGCAATCCTCTTTTTAGGTAATGTAATGCATTTACTTGTGACAAAGTCGTTAGGGATATTTCCTTTTTCATAACAATCGGTGATGACATTAAAAATCTTTTTTGTTGCTGAATTTTCTAGGTTCTTTAGTACTTCTGTTGGTATTTTATCTATTCCTGTTGCTTTTTTATTCCTTAGATCTATCAATGCTTCATATAACTCTTCTCTGGTTATTTGTGGCCCCAATTAATATATATTGACATCTCTTCACTTTCAATGTTTCCTCATCTTCAATCTCATCTCCTTTATACAATTTTTCAATATACTTTTTCCATCTTTCTGCAACTTTTTCATTTTCAAATAAGATTTTTCCCGATTTATCTTTAACTACATTACTTTTTGTTTTTGGAGTGTAATTTATCTAAATAACTGGTATTTTTTTAAATTAATTAAATTAAATAATTATATAAAATAAGCTAAATATAGTAAATTAGTTTAAGTATTACACTAGAAATAAGTTTGATAAAAAATGTAATTAATTTGTATATTATTGAAATTTTTTTTTCTTAGGATGTACATTTTTAAACATTTTAGTAGAATAAAATATAAAAAGTATTTATTTTACCACTCATTGATAAACATTTCTCTACAGTAAAAATTTGTAAATCTTGTTGTCAACAAATAAGTTTCAAAATATTATTTCTAGTAGCTATACATACTTTTGAGGTGCAGATCACTTCTCGTAAATTGATATTCATCCAACTATCACAAGTCACTAAGTGCCCATTGTATGTTTCACCATTTTTTAATTCAACCAACTGTAAAAAAAAAATGGTTTTATAATACATTTAATAATATGAAATTTAAATTATTATATTTTATACCATTAAAGGTACTTAATGTACAGGAATAAATACTACTACTTAAGATCAACTAATAAAATAGAAAAAAAATGTATTTTAATCATATTAATGTCATAATGTTTTAGTCATAATTGTTATTGTTATTATTATTATTATTTTAAATATAATCCCAAGTTTGTTTGTTTCTAATATTTTAAAATTATTTTTATGTTTATTGAAAAATATTGTTCAAAATGTAAAACTTGTTACTAATATATTAAAATAAAATACTTCACAACGTATAAATGAAAAAGCATTTATATTTTAAATTGTAACTTCAACAAACACAACCACTGTTAAACATATTATGTAATACTTTTTTCAAAAACTGAATTAGAACCTAAAAATGACAAATACATTAATAGTTTATACAATAAAATGTTTACCATCGGATGATTCTGGGCAGTTTTTAATAATGATAGAGGTAACTGTAACAAAATAATGTGATAAAATATTATGAGACATTAAAATATAAGTAATAAAATAAAGGATATTATCTAATGAAAAATAAATTTAAAAATACATACCATATTGTTAGTTTATTTAAATGCACTAAAATGATTATTAAATTGAAGAAATATATTACAACAGTGTTGGAACTAATAACTGTTTATATTTGTAATAACGTTTCTATACGTAGAAAAGGAAACCGGAGTGCCGGATAATACATGTAATCAAGTAATAACAAACTGATAAGTGATAATCATTATCATAATTCTTATAATCTCACAGAGTACCTCATGGAAAAGAGAATAAGAGACTTAGTTTTAGACACGGTCTAAGGCGCGTCCACACTATGGACCGAACACGAACGAGCGCGAATTTGGAGATAAAAATAGAAAATAATTTATAAAAATTAAAACTCACTAAGAAAAAAGTAAATCCTACAAGTAAACTAAACTGTAACCGAATGCAACCGAATTTTAACTAACAGTAAATTCGCTGTTCAATTTAGACACAAACAGTAGTATTCAGAACGAAGGCGAACGAACGGCAAGTTTGTCTAGATTCGCGTTCGTTTGCGTTTGGCCCATCGTGTAGACGCACCTTTATAAGGTACCATCTAAGAACGTGGTTATAGATATACAGCATAGACATATTATTATATTATGTTTTATGATACAAAATAACAATTACTCTATTGGACATAATTGGTACTTATTTACTTTTTGCATGTAATCATAGACGCAATTTGGAGGAAAGGGGGTTAGGTGTACTTTGCACCCCCAGTTTCAAAATAGCACCTTCAAATTTTTTCATGTGAATATACCTACCTTATTATGTACAGAAAAACAGAGTGTTATTGTATAATTTATAAATTCATTATTTAAATAATAGTGGTGAAAGTTCGTCCTTCGTCTTTTATGTCTTCGAACTGGATAATAGTATTAGGTAGGGTTGTCAGATTTTGAAATCCCTATACTAATACATTATATTGAATGACCTTTTTTTTATTTTGATATGAAAAAAAAATTAAGTATTTTGTAATTGCATTTTGTAATTTAAATATTTATTAGCTAATACAAAAATACATTATTATTATATATAACTAGGGTTCAGACTTATTGCATTTGCTTATTGTTTAATAATGATAACAGAATAGTCTAAGTATAGGTACAGGTATAAGTACATTTGTTTTAAGTCATAACGGATTGAAATATAAAAAAATGTAATTGCATATTTTCTGAGCAAAATGCATATTTGACAAATGTAGGCAATTTAATTTTTATTTACAGCACATGTACGTAGTTTTTGTTTGATGTTAAGTAAATTTATTTTAAAAGTTAACATTTTTTTTTGCATCGGTCAATATACGTAATCATAGAACAATTCGGGACAGGGCAAAAAGGAAAATACCTAATTGTTTCTAGGTACACTATCGGTTATCGTAAATTATTTATAGAATGTAAAAGGAAAGCAAGTATTCAGTTTTCATTATAGGAGAATATGAAGAAAATTAAATCGAACATACACAGTAATATAAAGTATATAGTGTTATTGTTGTCAAAAAATACTAATTAAAATGTCTAAATTTCGCAACATATATTATAATGCTCCAAAAATTCTATAATTAATGCTTACATAATTTTATTGTTTTAATTGAACCCATATGCTTTCCGCGTCAACACTAGGTATTTATATTTTTACTAAATGTACCAACTTTATATCTATAGTAAAATATGATTTATAATAATATTTACAATTTATTTATACATAATAATTAGGGAACGAATTTATATTCAAATGCATACCTACATGTATTGTATTAAGTTTTTTGAAATCTGACGAGAATTGCCTTCGATTCAGATCATTTTTATTGAAATAACATTAATTTTATTTTGCATATTACATGCATATTTGTAATTTTATAGTGCATATTTTTATTTATGGCACATATATTTGATTTACCTCATATTTTCACGTTCACAGCCACATAATATAGATAAAATGTAAACCTGTCGTTATAGCCAAAAATAAAATAACAAACTCGTATGTAACATACGAGTACAAGGGAGTATTTATGGTGGAGGGGCCGAGCCCCTCCCCCGAAATGAAAAACACCATTGTTAAAAATTGTTATTTTTGACATTAATAGGTCTTAAGGCTAGGAGTTATTTCGAAAATTTGTTGCGACACTGAGAATATTGCTTATGCGATAATTTAAAATTGTATATTCATAAAATATTTTTATTCTTTTAAGAAAATATGTGGTGAATTTTGAGTGACTAATAAAAAATTGTTTATTAAACTGTAGTTTTTATATTTTTTTGAAATTATAAATCAATAAAAAAATTGAGTTTCTCAATTATACATGATACCCCCCCCCCCCCCCCCCCGAAATTAAAACCTATAAACGCCACTGTACAAGTATATACAAATTATATTAATATAAATAAATTCATATGATAAAGTTGAACGCTTGAACTTGACGGAATTATGGAAACCGACCAGTCAGTGTATGCATTCGTGCGTATATTTTTACGAATAAACCTGTAGCAGTTTTTGTGTTAAGTGATTTTTTTTTATTCGTTCGTAGCTTTTAAATGCCCAAAGTAAAAACAATAATTAAGAGTCGTTTATAGACATATGTTAACGAGCATAAGGATATTTTAAAAACCGATGGTTCAATTTCGTATTACAATATTTGTAAAATGTTTACATGATTAAAAAAAAATTTTTTTTATTTAATTATAAGTGCATATTTTTTAGAATATAACAGCACTTTTGAAAGCATATTTTGAGGATCTTTTGCACATATCAATCCGTTTCCTAACAATAATTAATACATTTAATACATACATGAATGAAGATAATTATTGCCTGCATATAATTCATAACAATAATATAAATTCATTTAAATATATTAATACTTATTAATTATGTATTATAAGTTAAAAATCTGTTTTGTGTACTTTAATAAATACATATGTATATTTTTAACGTATAAATTTGCAAATTATACAACTCTTATAAACAATATTCTTAACAAACGACAGTTAACTTTAAATTAAAATAAACAACTGGAAAACATTAAGCCTCGGAATCGATTTTTTTAAGATCCATTTCTAGTTCATCAGATGTTCTTAAATCAATTGCAAAACGAGATTTAGACGCTCCAGTATTACGTACTTTTCTGCTATAAGCCTACATAAATAAAATCAAATAGTAAAAAAAAAAAAATTATGAGTTTACAAATATAAAATTGCATATATTTCAAGTACTTATACAAACGAATTTAATGTTATAAGTCAATTTGAAAAATAAGAAATGAATCAATTCTAGGTCCACTTCAGAAATCAAATATTTTATCTATTAAAATTTAGGCATACAATTAATGTTAAATAAATTACTTGAAATGCTGTTGCTAGAGCATAAGTTAAATTTCTTGCTGCTTGACGGCTCTCACAAACAAACGCTACACAATCAAATGGTTTTCTGTCTGTACTAATTTGTTCTTTAACGACAATCATACAGAAAACTCTTGTATAAACCAAATCCTATGTTATTTTTAAGATACAGCACTTGGTTATTCATGTATAAGAGAGAAAAAATGTTTGCAAAAGATTATTCATACTTGAACTCCATAAGAAACTGTGTGTATAGGGAATTTTTTTTTAAATTTGTTTCCAATAATCTCGCATCCGCCTTCAGTAATTCGAAGCTCAACTTGAGGTGGTAATGGATTTGGTGAAGTTTTTGCTTTAGCCACCATAAAGTCGACCGGTTTCCGCGTGTGTTTTATTCCCCATAAACCTTTGGCTTCGGAAGAACCGAGCTCTCTGACTGAAAACGATTGTGGAAGACGTTGGTATCGTATGTCTTCGTCCATCATCAGATTTGTTAAATCACTTAAAAATTTAAATGATCTAGAATCGGTATAAATAATAAAAATCACTAGAAATTTAATGGTATTAAACGAAATATTTAAAATCAAGTTTGGCGTCGCACTCTCGAAATGTGTATGACGAATAAAATCGAAAACGAATTTAGTGATGTTAGTACACACATCCAACCACTCAAGAGTCAACGCACGAATGCACTCACCTGTCGCCTGTAGTAACACAATAGGTATAGTAATTTACTGCTGCCCAACTGCCATCTGCTATCGGATTTCCGGTTTCCTGTTAGGAATCTACCTCTAGTATTATGACAATAATGTATTTAAAACACTAAAATAATTCCCAATATAAAATTATAATTATTATGCATGTATAATATTATATTGTACATATTACATTTTATATATGTTGATTTAATGTACAAAGATATTTATTTTCAATGATTTCATTGCCTTATGAGTGCCCAAAACAACAATATATTTATTGATTTGTATTATTAAAATACATGAACAATAAAATAAAAAACAATAAATATGACACGTAATAATAATTATTTTAATTTTATTTACACTCGTATGATTACGTATTACGTAGCGTTAATTTTTTCGGTGAGCCGCCGTATATGTACGATATATACGATATATGTATACTCGTATATAGTAGCCGAATAACCCGGCTTCATCCGTGAACAATTTTGAAAGAAATTGTATCATATATATTTAATTTAACTAATTTTTTATTTAATTTTTTTGGGATTTTTTAAAATTTATTTATGTTTTTTTTAAATTTTTTTAAAATTACTTTTTAAATTATTAAAAATTATTTTATTTTCTCCGCCCGTGAAAAAGTTTCTATTATATTATTTTTAAAGCCTATTATTTGTAATCTCGTTCTATTACAAAACTTTGGAGGATCTAAATTTTTTTAGTAGTATTATCGGAGCACAACATTTTTATAACTAATTGGTAAGGCGGAATACCTGTTGGATTTAAACTGTTTAAACACTCTTGAGGATAGTGTATGTTATCATCATAATTTACTACACTATCGATTGAATGGAATATTTTGCATTCAGATTGATATTTGTCTAAAACAGCGGTTCTCAATATTTTTGAAGCCGTGACCCACTATAATATCACCAAGATTTTGAGTGATCCTTTTATTATGATAACATTAAAAAGTAGTAATAAATTAATATGATTTATATAACGTTATTATTGAAAATACTAAACTATTATCAATTGTAATTCTCAACAATAATTATCATAATGATATTTATAAAAACACCTAACTAATTATATTATATATTGGTGATTCTTAAGAGGTCGTAACCCCCAGTTTGAGTCATTGGTCTAAAATGTTTTTTTTATATTTCGACTGCAACTGAATTTATAGGTGTTATTATCGCTCTTTCACACAACCACTCAATATTTTTTGAGGGTATATTTTTTATATCTGGATAACCGTTATTTATTAGATAATTTAAGGCAGGGTGGTCCAACCTATGGTAGTTGGCGGCCAAATTTCCATTTTTATAAAAACACTAAAGGCCGCAAAAAAAAATGATACTATTATCCAGTAAAATCTGCAGTCAATAATAACCGCCTAAAAATGACTATAATAATAATAATGATTTCCACGATCTCCCACCACTAAAAATCGGATTCGCTATGGCTGCTATATAAACACGTTAACTACTTATGTATGTAGTGAACTGAATTCAATCGTAGTTTTGGACGTTACTCATTGCATTTATAGAAAAAACCATAGGCGCAATTTCGGGGGGGGGAGGGAGGTTTGCTTAGCACTCCCATTTTCGAAATTAGCATCCCCAAATATGTTTATGTTAATTTACATTTAAATACACATTACTCATTATGTATAGAAAAACAGAGTTTTTATTGTATAAATATATACATTTTTTTATATATAGTTTTTTTTCACGCCTGGAAAAACTCTTAAGATTTTAAAAATGACCTATTTAAAGTACCACCGCATGCCAATTTAAAATCTAAAAAAGGTCCTAGAAAGAACTTTTGGACCAGTATTTCCATCCTAAAGAGTGTTAAAAAAATAAGATACAAACATCATTATAAAATCATTATACCCTTCGCTTCAGTTAGAATCTAAAAGTGATCATGTGATGAAACATTTGTGTTTACAAATAGGCAATTTGTTATACACGCAATAAAAATATATTTATTTATAAAATCAAAGTGAACAATTTAAATCTAGAAATATTCATATATTTACCAAATATTTTAGTAACTGTTGAATTGTACGGGTTGCAGGTGTCTATAACAATTAAAGAACATGAAAAAGATAGAAGGGCTTCAGCACCTCCGGTTTTTTCATTGAAATTACGCCCCTGAAAAAAACATAAAAAGTATACAATCGTATGAAAATTTTATTATAATATTATTATAACTGTTTTTATAAGTCTTCTATGGAGTAGGGCAAAAAGAAAGCTTCGAGGGCCGCGGGTTGGACCACCCTGATTTAATGTATGAATTTGAGTACCGAGTTCATAATTTAATTTGATATAACTATCTTCAGATTGTATATTTCCATTACCAACATCTATTAAAAGAGACGCAAAGTTAATATCACTGGATTTCGACGACAACATGGTTCGCATATTTGTATTTATATTAAAAACTTTAACATGACAAGACAGACTTTCTTAAAAATGCTCTTATAATATCTGCGCGAATTAGGTAAGGTCTGACAAAAATCCTCACACAATACAAATGTTACTCCTCCCATAATTTTTGGAAATTATCTCAGATCTTATAAAGTTATGTTTACAGTTTCTAAAATACCTCTATTACACATTGTACATTTATCTCAAAAAATAATCACTGTTTTTAGAAGCACCTTTGTAATAGCACTATTTTTTCTAAAGGAGCAAACCGATTTTTCCTGAGGATTGATATTAAAAGGTAACTTGAAAGTAGAATATACTGTCCTTCCATCATTGAGGAGCGTAGCAGCAATCCCTGAAGATGCAACAGCTAAAGCTACATACCTGTTTACGTTAATGAATTTTCACGAGCAAAAAATTAGTTGAAGTTAAATTAGTTATTTTAATTATATTGCTACTACTAACAATATTATTTTATTTCATAAAACTTTTAAAGTTCTTTAATATACAAATTGCTTAGTCTATTATGTTTTTGGTTACTATGTTTATATCGGTACAGAGAGATAATTCGATAATATATATATTAAACTTTAAATAGTTCTGTGAGAACTTAACTAATATGGATATAGGCTCTAATTTTATAATGGTTTTAATCAGAGGTAGGAAGGGGTATGTATCCTTATTTTAAAATAGTTCCAATTAGCATGTGCCCTGCTGAAATAATACAAGATTATTAATATGATTACAATTAGATTGTATTTTAATTTTTATATTGACATTTTTAATATTGGTAGCACTATTTAATAACAACATTTTGGACATTACAGCAACAAAACAGACAGAAATGTATCGCTTTTGTTGAAACATTCAAAATTATTTCAAAGATAAAAACTTTACCTACCAATTACAACACCATTAAATTTTTTTTTTTTTTTGGTAAAAAGAGTAAAATCATATTTACGCACTACTATGAGGCTAGACAATCTAATGGTACCTACTTTATTATTTTATGTTGAAAAAAAGTTAAAAATCAAATCATTATTTATTATATATATATATATCATTATTATCATTAATAAATCATTACAAAAAAGCTAAGATGTATTTGTTGAATTTAAAAATCATCACTAATTTGAATTTTTATTTTTTTTATTTTGATTGGTTTACTTTTACAAAAGTTATAAGTATAAAAAATAATTTATAAATATTGATATTAAAGATATTTGTTTATTTGTTACTGCATTTTTTCTTTTCGCTTTTTATTCATCAGCTATTAGTTTTCCTTCTTAAGATAATTAATTATTTATTTAATTAGTTTTTACTATTTATGTTGATGTAGTGGCATAACCAGAAAAATAATTGAGAGGGTTTTAAATTTTAATAAATCAATTAAATATAAGTTTAAACATAAAATGTGCTATTATTTAATTTATGGAAACTGTGAAAACTGTGTAATGGTAACATGATACAACATTAAACCTATGTTTTAAAATTATTGTATATTTTACAAAATAAGAGACATTTTGGGGGAAGTTATATTGTAACCAAATGCATCCAATATTTTAATTTTTGATACTTCCACAATATGAATTAAAATCCACTACTATTGGGTTAAATAGTTGAATAAATAAAAGTAATGTGTATATAGTTAAATCATGATTTTAATTTTAATTTTATAAGAATATACTACATTATAAGTTTTGATAATAAGTCATAACAAATCATAAAAATTAAATACCTACCTAAATCTACTGTTGTTTATTAGAATGACAAATAATCAAATTTATGAAATTACACAATTTTAACTTTTTTTATAAGTAGTATAATATGCTAGGTTAGTTATTACATAGCACTTTTTAAAAAAACAGAATATTCTAGTATATATTCTCATATATTTATTTATGTATTTCAATTTATTGTACAAAAATAAACAAGCTGATTATAATTTCTAATCATGAAAGTTTTGTATTTCTATGATTCAATTATTATTTTAGTCAATTATTCTATTTATAATAATAGTAAATGTTTTTTTAAGAATAAAAAATAAAAACCATGTACAATATATATTGCATATAGTCAGAATCTAATATATTAGCAAGTATTGTTTTTATTAAACATCTGTTTCATGAAAAAAAAAAAAAAAAATTCTAAAACACTTATAATTGCTATGTTCATTAATAATATTAACGATAAAGATGATCAGCATGTATATTTGCAGCAATTTCTGATTCCCATTTATCACCATTATTTAATAACTTCTCTTTATTATACAAGAGTTCTTCATGAGTTTCAGTTGAGTATTCAAAATTTGGACCCTAAATAAAATATTTTATAATATATTAATCTATGAATTTATTGAACATTAAAATTAAATATTACTTCAACAATAGCATCTACTGGACATGCTTCTTGGCAAAAACCACAATAGATACATTTAGTCATATCAATATCATAACGTGTAGTACGACGACTACCATCAGCTCTTTCTTCAGCTTCAATAGTAATTGCCTATATAAATCAATAAATGTATCAAATAGTAATGGTAAATTATGAAATAATTTTACTTGAGCTGGACAAATAGCTTCGCACAGTTTACACGCAATACATCTTTCTTCACCAGATGGATAACGTCTAAGAGCATGTTCTCCACGGAAACGTGGTGACAAAGGGCCTTTCTCGAATGGATAATTTATAGTTGCTGGCTCTTTGAAGAAATGAGCCAATGACACAGCAGCACCTAAGAAATTTAATTTATTTTAAAAAAACTTTTTCTATAATAAATAACAAAACTAAAAAACTATATTTCATTAAAACATTTTAGATATTTTGTTTTATCTGATTACATTGGAAAATGAATTACATTATTTATATTATTTAAATGTATCATAAATTATAATAAATATACATTCATATTTTTAATAGTTTATAATTACCTCTATAAATTTCTGTAAGAAACGCATAAGAAATAGCTTGATCAGTCATGGCTCCCCAACTCAAATTTTCAAATTCTGCATCCCTATTCACATTTACATAATTTGTACGTGCCACCACTCGTAGGGGTACTCGAGTAGACGATCTCAACAATGTATTACCTATATAAATAAATGTATAAATAAAACTAACCATTTTCCTTTTTACTGAGTTTATAAATAATATAAATAGAGTATAATAATATAAAGTAGAGATAAATATTTAAGTATATAATTAATCACTTAATACTTATTATTAAAACGAAACCTTTATAACATCATTAATCATACAGTAGAACATGTAAATTAATACATACATAGTAATTGATACATCATTGTTATTGATGATTAATAAAAATTTTATCACACCAATATCTTTATTACTAAGAGTATTAATTCTAAAATAATTCTTATAAATCGATAAGAACAAGAACAAAAAAATATTTGAAAAAGTGAAATGTTATATTTACTTTTAGATACAATTTATCTTAGTATAAAATATTATGTTAATATTACTTACTAGCTTTCGTTAATGCTGCTAAATTCATAATTAAAAATTTGAAAATGTTACGTGAACAAACAAAATAATATGAAATCCCTTTGCATAAATAAAAAAATTAAAGATTGTATGATAACTTTTGAAGGAGTTTTCTAAAATAAAATAAAATTATTCTCAAATCTTTTAAAATTGATAGGTTATCAGCTATACTGTTTCTAACTTCATATTTCAGCTGATCTGAAATTTTTAATAAGCTGTTCATTATCAACTTATTACTCGTACTAGTGATAAGATTGTATTAAATTAAAAATGTATATAATTATTTTAAAAAATATATTGTTTGCTGTTATTAATATTTAGCCTTTTTTTAATGTTTGTACATAACTACTGGTCGTAATTTCATAATAATACAATATATTTAATGTTAGTAGTTAATAATCATATCGCAATACAACTAATGAAAAAACATAAAATAATGTATAAACATTAAATATATTATCATGTTTTAGATGTTTATTTTATATCATTTAATCACAACATAAATAATATATAAATGGAAAATATTCAATAATCAACTTTTCGGATAATATCAAAAAAAAAAATTTCAATTGAAAAAATATTTGTAAATTATATACGCATATCAGTCATTGCTTAAATTGATTATTTAAAATTAAATAAATCATAAAGTATCTCTTGTAAACACATGATTGATCTTATATGCAATAATTGTACTTGACATTATTCTTCAGTTACATATTTCTCAATTGGATTTGTTTTAAGTAGTTGGCTGCTCTTACAGTAATATTAAGAGATGGATTGATTGGGTTTAGTTTTTCTTCACCAATCAAACTCAATCCACATAGGCTTAAGCAGGTATGCATTGGATCAGGTATTGAATCCATATTTTTGCTAAATCCGCCAGTTATAAAATTGGCATTATTCAGAACAAAATCCCTATTCCTGTCTTTGTTTATCCTATTTAGTGATCCCATAATACTGAGAGTAGCACCTAACCAGAAAGAATAACAAGTGTCTGGATCCTTATTGGGTCTTCCTTGGAAACCACCATTGGTTTGTCGATTAACTGCCCAACGTTCTAATATTTTTGATTTGTTTTCATCCAGTACAGAATTTAATTGGTCTAATAAAGATAAAGAAGCGATTGCACAGTAAGTGGAACCACCATGGGATTCAGTTCCTGGGTTTTGACCAAACGCTCCATCGTAGTTGAAACAATTTGAAATGAATTTGATGGCATTATTTACGTTAATGGTCGACGAGTCATCTAGTATATTGCAAATGGCCAGTGAACAGTACACAAACCGTAAATCACTTTCACCGTGCTCATAGTTGCTCTTAAAACTGCCATCAGGTTTTTGCAGAGATGCAACACCTCGGAGAACAGCCGATTTGTCCACACGGCTCAAGTCATCGCCTAGGGTGACAAGAATACACAATGCCATATACGTCATGGCTACATTGCTTTCACAGAACTTGTCACGATTCGGATGGTTCTTCAAATGAATAACTGTGGTAGATCCCATGAACCCGCACTTGTGTACTGGACAGTGGTCACTGGGCACAAGCTGCAGCCTGTACACCCATTCGACGATGTCTTTTTTGCGACTGTCGCCCAACGAGTCCAGACCGTCTAGTATGTCCAAGCCAATGAGAGCGAAATATAGAATGGTGAGCCGCGAGTAATCGAATACTGCAGACTCGCCGGGCAACAGGTCCAGTGAGCGGCGGAAATACTTTTTATGCTGCTCAGGCTTGAACTCCGGCTTGGTCATATTGGCGGACACCTTACACCACGGTATATCAGCTCAACGATGCACGATCAGACATGTTTCAACGACGACGATCCTGCGTTTATTGGATCGCGGTCGTTGCACTGCTACTAAACGCAAATCGTAAATACTACAATGGGAGACTTAAGTATATCGCGGACGACCGACAACCTGACGTTTGCGGACGAACAGACACGTCGGAAATGATCATTCGTTTATGTCGTAATATCGAGTGTTGTTGCCGATAATTAACTGTAAATTTTCATTTGTTTTTATCACTGTTCGGTTTCTGAGCGTGCGTCATGCGATTCTCGAGTATTCGGCACTCCGGTGCGGATAACATTACGAACTATGTAGCACAAACCGGCGATATCTTCATGTTTTGCCCAGGATTGTAGTACACACCGTGTGTACCGAATCCATCGCTAGAGAGCGACACAAGTTATGAGAAATACACCGCAAGGTCGATCGCACACTGAAAGAGTAAAACATTGTTAAACAGTATTATAGTTAAAAACTAAGTTCAAAATATCTTGGAACTTAGGCAAAAAATTCGTCGTGTCCTCAACGATCTTCATAGGACAATGTGTAATCGAGTGATGGTAAATTGTATGGAAAAAATAATCACCTGTGGGCATAAATGGAAATTTGGTGAAATTAGTGGGGGACTGAGCATTATTTGCTTATTACACCAATAAGTACCCATGTATGCAATTATTTATTTCAACAAGGCAATTTACAAAGTTTGACAATTTTACATATTCAACAATTCAACCAAAAAAAAACAATTAGGTGCCTTCTCTTAAACATTTTTGGAGTAGGTATTTTAAACAGAAATTATTAATTAAATAAATTAAACAACCAACATAGGTATTATTACATATAATCTACGAATTATAAAATAATAAAATGCTAACCTACGTATTATTACATATTATTAATATTACATTAATTAAGATCGTTCCAAATCATGACAATAAGCTTGTAAAACCTTACGAATTTGATTTAATTTTTATCACAGAATATTATTTTTTTAATCCAGTTATTAAAAATGCATTTTACAATTATAATAATTATTGTATTTTCAGTCACTTAACAATTTTTAGGGTTAGGAGGGCTAAGACCTGTACTTAACATTTCTGGAGGGTTTAGTCCTCTCAAGCCCCCCTCCAATTTCCGCCTATGCATGTGGGGCTAATAGAGAGGATCATATGCCCGATTTTGTTTTTCACTGTTAAACCTTAATTTTTCCTGAAGAGAATGATATATTGGATATGTTTTTTTAAAATAAATAAATTTAATTTATAAGTAGATTTCTATCCTGCGTTTTTTTTTTTTTTTGAGACACCTCATATATGTGCAATAATATAAGAATATTTTTTTTATATTATTTTATATAGGTACATATATATTATATTTTTACAATTATGTACAAAAACGGTGTACAATTAATATATTTTTCTTTTAAACTTAAAAAAAAATAATACATTTTTTTTTATTATATGAATGTTTAAATATTTTATTCTTTCAATATTGGGTGATACCGATTAGGTAAATTAAAGTATGAAACTTTTAATTGTTTCTTCCTTCAAAGTTCAAGTATCTTAATCACTATTCGCCTGGCCCACCCTGCAACAAATGTCTGCGCACGACTATGATCTAGTGTAGGTAATGCTTTATTATGATTGAAAGCAAAATGATTAAATATGATATAAATTTCTTCAGTCAATTTTGCTTTACCAGTGTGCGGTCACTCTAAAACATAAATTCCGTTCAGATGCCGATTAATTTATTGATATTAGTTCAGTTATGATTACGGTCTATTTTATACGAATTTCGTTTGCAACTATAGTATGATCCATCGATAATAATAATAATGGTTATTTATTATTGTCGTTTATCACGCACCTGAGTCGGAACAGGCAACACCATTTAGTGCTGGATCTAGAGGAGGACAAGTGGGTAAGCTTGCCCAAGGGGCTATTAGTATAAATCCAGTGGCGCACACAGGATTTTTTTCGGGGAAGGGGGGGGGGGGTCAAGATTAAAATATAACACATTTTACAATTAACATAATTATGCAAATTCTTAATATATTTTGACTTAAATAATAGCATTGATAATAGAATAGACTATTTTATAATCAATGATATTAGTAGGTATTCAATACTAGCTCTTCATATTTCAAACTTGTAAAATTTGTAAATTTTAACCTAGACATCAGAGAAAATTTCAGGGGGGAGGGGTAAAACCTCTTAACCCCCCCGCGTGCGCCACTGATAAAGGCACTCATAAGTTTATGAAAAATAAAAAAGTTATGAACACGCTCTGAATATTCATTTACGTAAGGGCACTCCATTTTTATTAGCTTCGAGCGTCAAATTTCTTCGATTTGGTACTATATTTGAGATATTTCAGTGTAAACACTAGAACACTTCGTATTTCAAGAGTCTGAGACCTTATAAGATAGTCGAGTGATCGAGAAAATCTTGAAGGGTTGTGCAGTGCCACAACTACAAAATAGGAGGCCCGTGTGCAGAAATTATATTAGGCCACTTCCTAAGATTTATTTTTGTTGTACGTCTTATTTATAAGTATCAATTTTTTTAGGTTTTAAAACACGTTTCACATCGGTTAGTGTATGATATATGTATATATATATATATATCAAATTAAATACCTACAACTGTTGTATATTATACTTCACTACATATTTATGTAGTAAATTTGTTTAAGTAGTTTAGGTAGGTATGTTGTATGCCTACTCAAATACTCAATGGACTCATTGTTAAATAAATATTATAACTCTAAAATATAAAATATTAAATAATAAAAAACAATAATAATAATAATAATAATATAATATTATCAAATAATTGTGTATTTGTAAAGTGTAGTTTATTTTAGGCTGGGACTAGGGGATCCCCAAATGTATGTAAGCCTTGGGGCCCATGTGCGCGGCACATTGCACACCCGGTTTTTGCGGCACTGGGGCTTTGATTCATTCACATAAAAAATTGCATACAAAATATTAATTTTAAATGATTAATTCATTTAGGTCTATGACCATATTATTCTTCTTACCTGCTATAATAGCCATGACCGAGATACGTCCATAAATATTTTGTGTTACAATCATGAGCGTAGGTAAGGGAGGCGGGTTTTGGGTGTTCAAACACCCCCGAAATTAAATAAAACAATTTCAGTATTATTGTGAATTTGTTCGAGAATATTATTAACTTGCATATTATATACTAAGTATAATATTTATTACGGCTTAAAAAACTTAACGAGCATGACGCTCATTGCATTTTTAATAAAGCGTTCATATCGTTAATTTTGTGTTTGCCTTAACAACATAATAGACAGTTATATATCTGAAAATACTCAATTTCCTCCAAGTATGTGGACACAATATTCGTCTAGTGTATAACGAACAACAAACGCATGTTTAGTATTTCATTCCAAATTTAATTCATCTTTTTTACTGAAGCCAAACATACATAAATTTATCAATGTTTTAAAATAATTTCAAATTAATACTTATGTGTTAATGAATACTATTCATTGAATAGCGTAAATACACTCAAAAAAGATTATAGAAAAAAATTCAATGAAAAAATAAATTCTGCTTTTATATATTTAAAAAACGTTTCACTCAAATTTTATTATTTTAAATAAGTAGTTAATAGTTTTATAATTAATCAAATTTTCTTTTTTTTCGACAGTTGACAATTTTATCTGTTTTTATTAATAATAATAAACATGGGTGTTGCGAGGGTGGGGAAGGGGGGCACTTGCCCACCCCTGTGCCTCAAACTGAATTATATTTGTTTATACCAAACGTGCGTCTTACATTAAAATCAAAAAATAAATAAGATATAATTTTAAAAATAGTTTAGTGGGACCGAGTGATATCTACACGTGTAATCGTTTTGACGTTTTATGTGTTATCCAATGGTCTATCTGTAGATTATTTGTATTACGAGTTTAACACTAATCATTTTATGTTTTTGCCCCTCCCTGATTCAAATTTTAGCTACGCCCATGATAATAAATATGTTTTTATATAATCTGTAAATAGATTGTATAATTTTATTTTTTTAAATATGATTAATTACTTGTAATACTTATTTTATGATAATTTGACGATAACCGATAAGTACCTATTTATATTTTACGATCAAAGTGATAAATTGAAATATCGATAAACACTGAAATGTTATGAAGTAATTTTAAAATGTAGCACGGGCCAGATAAAAAAAAGTACATGAGCCGCCAGTTGCTCATCTATATTATAGAATAATACATACATATTTATATATTATACAATAATTTAGTACCAATAATCATAATAGTAAAATGGTAAAATATTGATATATGCAAGAAAATGTGTTAAAAATTTTGGAATTTTCATTTACAACATTATGAAATAAAAATATATGCATATATAAATTACTAGAACACAAATCAATTGTAATAATAGGTATATGTATACATTTATTTCAATTTAGTATTCTATACACTTCTGTATACATACTTATAGTTTTGAGAAAAAAAATATAATTTTAGAATGTAGTTTAGTGATTACCATTATATGAGACGATTTAACGAATAATAAATATTATATCCGAGCAATTTTCGATATTAGGATATTTCAATGGACTTTGAAGTTGTCAGTGTCCAGCAGACGTAATGATGTCTGCGTGTAATTTAGATATTTTAAATTGTGTTGCTCAAAAACGAAATTTTAATTTTAAACGAAAGCTATCGGAGTACAGATATTAAGAAATCAACTCCGCGAAATAATTACGACTGTAGATTATCTAAATTCTACAGCCACAGTTATAGCGTAAATTACATGTTTTATGGTTATAGTCCGAGACGTAATTAATCTACAACTTGTTATCGCTTAACATTATTCCGCGGTTTCGAAAAATAATCGAATTCTCCGTCAATAATACCTTTTAAAACATTTTAACATTCATTATCATTTCGTTGGTACTGCAGTTGGGCCATAATAATTTTGTTTCATTTCACACAAGTTAGCTGTATACCCACATTCTGACAGTTTCCAGTTCCCACGGGATGAATCGTGAGGAAGGGTGTTTTCGGTGGTCACGCAAGTTCGCAAACGAAGAACTATTGTACCAGGGATTTCAAAAAACGATACTCGGTGTAGTAAGTAAAAGTAATTTTATCAATATCAATAATAATAATAGGTTTCGTTAATCGGCTTAAACGGAATGCTGCGAAACCGATCATAATTGTTAACGTCGCCCAGAGCTTGTATTCGCGGCGGGTGAAAGGTATTCTCGTCGATTCGACGACCTGTCGCCGCCGAAGAATAGTAG